TCGCGACATGCTGTGGAGGATCGGCGGCGACATGAGTGGGCTGGGACCGCAAGTTCACACCCATTCCCAAAGTGTCCCACTCATAGCGTCACAGAAGTGCTCGTCATATCTGTACGGCGAGCCATAGTTCGCGGCATCGGCTGGGTAGAACCCATTATAGTTGATGGATCGCGGCTCTGCAACAATGAACGAGGCGCGGCGCATGCAGTCGATCCCGCGATGGAATTGCATCAATTGACCGTTCTGCGGCTGCCTGAGACCGCATCTTTGTCCGCCACGCCAGCTGACCGACTCGTCCCAAGGACGTAGAACGGATCGCGCAGCAGTATGAGTAAGACCTACCATGTAAGGCGGTCTTATCAACATCTGTGGCTGCCAGGCGCGCGGGCGGGAGTGAGCGGGAATCTCGATGTTCCGCTGCACTCATTGTCATCCGTCGATGGGTCGCTCGATGTACTGGCTTCATGGCCTCATCTGGGACAGTGTCAACATTCTTCTGTTCTATCATGATGATGCAAAAGGCCGTACTGCTCGGTGAACCGTATAAAGAGCCGAGGATTCGTTATGGCGGGGGGATTTGGTTTCCCTCCGGCGTGGAAGCTGTACCTCGAATCTTCACATCTACAAGTATGGTAGACTGGACAAGCCCCGACAGTCTCTTTCTTCAAGCATGTACTTGGTATTCTCCGTAGTATATGTGTCTTAGTGGCTCACAAGGTGTCCAGCCGCTCTCGACAAGGCACTCTTCGTATTCATCGGCGTCTATTTGTACGAGCATCTGACCCCGTATACTCTAAGTAGTCGGCTGACGGAGGCTGTAATACCAGCTATGAATTGATTTGCTCCATTCAATTTGACTGGGTACTCATCAAGACAGATGATTCACGGCGATCCGCCCTAGCGAGATGCGTGAAATGGGTATGCCTGGTCGACGCGCGATGATTCGTCGCTCTGATGATAGCTGATCGCGACAGTTGTACTTCGGATGCAGGTACTCGACTTTGGCCTCATGTGTGGCTGTGGCGATCATCGGAGTACCTCGAGGAAGTCTCGACTGTTCAGTGAGTGTAGAATGCGCATGATCTTGAATCAAGCGCAGGTGCTCAACATGATCGATCCCTAGGTGATAGTGAAGTTAATCAATGTCTGTCGTATAGTCCTTGCGCCTTTGGTGAACTCACCGTTGTGATAGTCAGGGGGGCTATTTGCAATCACCAGTAGCACGCTGCTTCTGTTTGTCAGAGTGTGAGCACTCTCCGGCCTGCATATCTGCGATTGTACCGAGTCTAAACCGGATCCGAACAGCGGTGTGGTCTGGAAATGGGACAAAAGAGTCACAGCTGCCTTCACGGTGGCATGGCTCGCAATCATAGGACTGGGTCTTCGCGGTATGTCCACTACTCGACTAAAGAGTTTTCCCTGATCAGACAATGTGTATGGCAGGCGTGGTAAAGGTACTCACATCATTCATTGATACGCTGGTCGACAAGCTCTCACATTCTTAGATCGGCGGCGCGCCCAGCGGCGATCCTTATAGTCTTGCGTGCAGCCTATCAAACGCGATCTCCAACTTGCCGAACGTATTTAGTACTATGCTATTAGACATCGCCTTACTCGTGCTGCTTTTTGTCGGACTTGAGCGTTGGAACAACGCCCGTGTACACGGCCTATGGCATCTTCTCTGGAACCAGGCAAGAGTTCATGCCGTCGCTCATGACAACAGCCGCTGAACCTGAGTCCAGGGGCTGATCTATCTGGGTGTGGCTATCATCATAGAGATACCCCTGACAGTGAGTCGTCTGCGAAATGTTCTTCACCTTCCGTCGCGATGTTGACAATGCTCGAGGTGTTCTTCTTTCTGAATTATAACGGTGCGTTCATCACTTGCTTGCGCGCATATATGCTGCAGGAGCTGTAATCAGACCGCAGAGATCGTATTCCTGGTACGTATCCGAGTACATATGTCCACTGATCTTGCGCTGACGCAAAACAGTTCATCGATCTGCCGTACAGTAAGTCGTTGAATCACGGAAGACAACGCAGACCGCCACTAACGAAGTACCCTGGGACGCAGCCTTGGTTCTGTAAGCATGCTATACATCCTTGCAGGAGTCGAAACTAACCAGAAGAATAGTCCAATAGCGGCGACTCGTCTATACCGCTCCCTAACGAGCTTCTCGACGACCAAACGCGGCAATCTCACTTACGAGTCTACGTGAGCGGTGATTGGTCGAGCTTCTGACTGATCATCCTCCTCACGCTCGTCATTCCAGGTATACGACGACTGTGGGTCCACATCCGCCGCTGCCTCAGAATGTCCATGCGAGATCCGGACTTCGATTCGCGAATCCACGACTCCATTCGGAGGGATACGAGATGGATAACAGACGCCTCAGCGCCCGGCCGATTGATCACCGAGTGGACGCTGATGGTGTCCAGATGTTGAGCGAAGCCGCCTGAAGCCATGGGCGCTCGCGGTGACAACTCGAATTCAAGCGCCCGAGGAGGACGAGAGGCGTGTGCGAGTACCCTCCAGTTGGTGCCTGCATCTTGCGCCCACCTGGAGATCTGTGCAAGAGAACAGCATTCACTGTGTGCGCCTGTCCACGTATCAGAACTGTGTATATCTATTGCGAGAGCCTTCCAGCTCACCATGAGAATAGTTGAGACGTGGATGCAAATCGATACCATCGAATGCGGGAATAGATGCGCGTACAGTGCGAAGTACGAAGCGCTGCCCAATGAGAAGTGCCGCTCGCGGCGGTCGTGTGCACGCAGTCGGAAGCAAACGACAAAGTGACGGCCATGGCGCTGCAGCCACCTGGATTTTTTACTCCAAATCACATCGATTGCAGTACCCATTCAACCGTGCTTGGAGGCTAGTACCACGAACGTAGTACGCGTAGATGGTACAACTCGGTGCTCGTAGCGAGAAGCAAGCCGCGGCATCTGCAAAACCAGGGACCCACACCGCGCCCGTGGGAAGCTACGAGAAATCACGAGCGCGCGAGTCGGGATTGGCTGGCGGGCCTGGGTGCCGTTGCTCCGCGCTCGCTCCCGATCCCCTTGACTGCTGACGTCCACCATCACCACCGCCTCTGCATCTTTCCTTCAAACCACCACCACACCTACCCACCGGCGCAACCCACTAGAGACGAATATCAATAGACAATATGCGCTACTTTACCAACACTCATGACTACGAGTGCGTATTCTTTCGTTGTTGTGAAGTGAAGGAAGGGTCGTGTGCTGACAGGAAAATCCAGCCATTCGTGGTCGCAGGTCGCGATCGGGATGTGGCACAAGTACCCGAACCCGCACTGCTCGCACGTCATGTCCGTCGACGTCGTCGACCGGTCCGTGGACCCAAACACGGGCATCATCCGCACGGAGCGCATCCTCGGCTGCAAACAGCGCGCGCCGACGTGGATCCTCAAAGTCTTCGGCGGCTCCGAAGACGCGTTCGTGCGCGAGATCTCGTTCGTCGATCCCGCGGCGCAGACGACCACCATCTCCTCGGTCAACCTGAGTTTGGCGCAGTTCGCGGTGTGCAACGAGATGATTCGGTATTCGCCGAATGGAAGGGATCGGACGACGTTTGAGCAGACGGCGCACATTGAGACGAGGGTGGAGATGTGGAGGAGTGTGGCGGATAGGCTCGAGGGGTGGCTTGCGAGTCGGTTCGAGCAGAATGCGGAGAAGGGCAAGGAGGGGTTTACCGATGTTTTGAGGAGTCTGTGGAGGCAGGACGAGCCTCAGCACGCATGATGCTCTTTCTCTCTTCTTCCCTCCTTCGTTCGAGCTTCCTCTGATTCGTACCTGCACCATACCCCATCCACCCCGCATACTCGCTCGCTCTCATGAATGCTGTCGATTATTTTCATTCTCTTTTAGGGTTGCGCCGAGGTTAGACGTGTTTGCCATTAGAGGTTCTCTTACATCTTCCCCCCTCACACACCACAAAAAAGCGGCTACGCTATCTATCATGACCATGCTACGTTCGACCCTGTACGCTACTCTACCCACCTCACGCGTCGCCCCGCAACCACAATCCCCACACGGCGTTCCTGTCCTTGACAGCTCTGAGCTCCCCCTCCCCTCCCGTCCATCATACGTCAGACTCGAAATCATTAACCTACCCCCGGAAATGTAATTCATCGCTCAGTCGAGTACGGCTTTTCCGTGTGATGTTTGTCATAGGACGAGAAGGGTGCGGAGGTAGAGGTGGGTGAATTGAATGGGCCGGGACGAGAGGCTGAACTGCGGAGTCCCTTCGGCGTTCGGCTTGTGTTGAGGCGGAAGGGCGCAGGCTTCGGTTTTACTTGATCCTGTTCTTGCCGTACGGATGGACGAAGCTTCGACTGTGTATGCTGTGTGCGAGGGTAAGACTACGAGAAGGTAGTGCTGCGTACGGGGGAAGTGGCCGGTGTTCGGGCACACGAGCGGTGGCCCGCGCGCCAGTCGTTGACGACGAGGACCAGGATTGGGCGCCGACGAAAATGATGTCAGCACAGCTGACGCCCAAGTTTCCTCTGCCCGCAAGCCTCGTCTACCGTTTCCATACACCCTCGGCTCCGTCCGCCCTTCTTGCCAGTAGCCCTGTATGTCTATACGCGGGCCAGCTCGGAAGAAGACGCGAAAAATACCGGAACGTTCATCATTGGCCGACAGACCGCGCGGCGCAAACGGCAACTCGTCTATCCGTTTTGACGCGGGTTCGATCCCTCGCCGCGCCGATCGCGTCTTTATCTCCTTCTCCCACCTCCGCCACAACCCATTTCCACCTTTTTCTCCTTCGCTCCTAAGCTTCTGCGGGGGAAAGGAAGAAGGGAAGCGTGAGATATGGACGAGCTGGTAGCGCACTGTCTGCGCGAGATCGCGTTCGACGGAGATCTCGGTGAGGGAGTTTTCGCGTTGTTCTGTACTGTGGCATGCTCGGGAGTCGATCCTGCCTCCTCGTCCCTTCTTCTCGACCAAAACGCGGTCACGCCCCTTCTCCGTCTTCTCTTCCTTCTCCCAACACGTAGCTAACACGAGTCCAATTGTAATAAGGCTGCGACATCCCGCGCCTGCGCACCTTCGCCTCGTCCTTCTTCGAACAGCGGAACCAGCCGCAGAACATCGACGCGTCCTACTTCGCCTTTCTCTGGACAGTCCTCGTCTCGCAGCCCTCCGTCCGCGTCGGGACCGTCCCCCTCGAAGCCATCGGCACAGAAGTATGGGTCGCGCCGCAGCCCAAGAAGAAGAAAGACCGCACCACCACACCGGTCGACGTCGAAGACAAGGACAAGGATGAAGTGAAGCTCAAGGTTGTGGATAAGACGAAGCAGCTGAGAGAGCTGGAGGAGATGTATGGCGATGGTGGGGGCTTGAGGGTCGCGGTGGATCCCGAGACGATATTCGTCGCGCTGACGGGGAGCCATATTCGGCCGACGAAGTTGACGGGGACGGTGTATACTGCTCTGCAGCTTATTACGAGGGGCAGGGCGGAGGGGTTGAGTGTGGTGGATTTGGGGAAGAAGACGGGGTATGATCAGAAGGCTTGTTGGTACGTCCTTTCTCTTTCTAGTTGAAGATGTTATATGGGTGTTGATGGAGGTGTAGGTACCTCGTGCGACAACTGGTCGACCTCGGTCTCGTGGTCAAACTCCGGCGCGCGGGCGTAGGCGCCAACTTCTGCATCCACCGCCACTTCTTCGAACGCGACGCGCAATGGCAAGGTATCCAAGCCGAGACGCTCGCCTCTACTTCCACCTCCGCCGCTCCCAGTACCTCACTACCAACACCCACGCCTGCACCCGATGCGAAAGACGAGGACGACGAGGATTATCAGCCGGACGCCGAAGCCGTCGCGCCGCCCACGGACGTCACGTTTGACCCGATCGACGCGAGGCATCTGAGTAGTCTGGCGCTGGTTAAGGCGAGGATTGTGAAGCTGTTGAAGAGCGCGCAGGGGAATGTGTATCCGGCGCAGAATCTTATCGTCACTATCGTGCGTATACATCTAGAGTCTAGCAGAATGTGATGTTGATGATGGTTGGACAGGGCTTCACCAACCCGACGAAGACTGAAAGGAGGTTCTTTCAGACGCGATTGCGCGAGTTGATGGAGCAGGGAGTTATTGAGAGGTGTACGGTTCCGCATCCTAATCCGCGGAGAAGCAAGTATAAGGTACACTTCCTCCTTCTCTACGCGATATCCTCAGATCGCTCAAGATTTCACTAGATCCCGTCCATCCGCCTATTGGACCCAGATGCGGGCCCAGACGGAGACGCGGACGATGCTGCTGTAGATGAAGAGGAAGAACCCGGGACGGGGAGGTTCAAGGCTACTGTAACGCTACACAAGCAGATCCTCGACTTGCTTGACGCAGCAGGCGGAGCCGGTATGACGCTCAACGTATGCCCTCTTCCCCCTGCCTGCCCGTCATACCATACATGCATGCTGACTCGTAGCATACAGGACATCGTCTCAGCCCTGGGCAACTTCGACCGCCGGACCCTCGAACTCATCCTCTCCCGCGCCGACCGCACCTCCCCGCCCTCGCACCTAGCCGACCTGCGCGTCTCCCAGATGCTCGAAACGCACGGCAAAGAGCGCCGCTACCGCTTCTACACCCTCCGGCACTACGCGGCGGTCGTCGCGCGGGAGGGCCTGGACGACTCGCGCGGGCCGTATGCGGGCGCGACAGAGGAGTTGGAGGGCGCGGGCGGGTTTATGGAGTGCAGGGGGGAGGAGTTTTATGAGGGGGAGGAAGAGCTGAGGGGGTTTGTGGATGAGTTTACGGGGGAGGATGCGAAGGGGCGGGCGAGGCAGAAGAGAGGCAAAGCAAGGGAGGAGGGAGAGGGGCCGAAGAAGAGGGGGAGGAAGAGGAAGAGGGCGGATACGGTATACGACGAGAACCCCGGCGCTGCGGGCGAGGGTGGGGCTGAGGAGGACGTCGATGAGCCGCCTGCGAAGAAGAAGCGCGGGAGACCGCCCAAGCCCAAAGCGGAGCCGGGCGCTAGTGCGGCTCCGAAGAAGCGCGGACGCCCACCTAAAAAGGCGCCCGTGGAGCCTGAGCCGGCGGATGTGGCGGAGAGCGCGCCCACGGCCGGCCCGTCCAACGCCGAAGCCGGTCCGTCCAACGTCCTCCCCGATCCTACCAACGCGAAGTCTGCTCCCTCCACACCCTCAATATCCGCACCATCCAACGCGCAGGCCAGCTCATCAACTGCGCCTACCGACCCCGCGCCATCAACCTCCGTAATCGCCGCCGCTTCAACCTCAACTACCGAACCCCCCACCTCCACGACCACACCCAAAAAACGCGGCCGCCCGCGCAAACACCCCCTCCCCGCACCCACCCTCGACGAACACGGCAACCCCGTCGAACCTCCACCAAAGAAACGCGGTCGACCGCGTAAGCACCCTCTTCCCGAGCCAGAGCTCGATGAGGAGGGGAACCCGGTGCCGAGGAAGCGTGGGAGGAAGAGCGCTGCTGCCGCTGGCGTCGATGCGGATGGGGAGGATGGGAAGAACGAGGGTGGGAGCGCGCCGAGGAGGAGTGCGAGGGCGCCGAAGCCTGTTCGGAGGGTTGATGCTGCTGAGGAGGGAGATGAGGATGCCGAGGGGGAGGATGATGATCAGGTTGTGGTGCAGTCCGCAGCGCCTGTGGCGGATAAGCGCAGGACAGATGAGGGAGAGGGTGGCGGTGCGGAGGGCGATGTTATGGACGTTGAGGCGCCTTCTGCTACTCCTACTGCTCCTCCGCCAGCCTTAACTGCGCTTGCTGAGTTGCTCGCTGCTGCTCCTGCTAGTGGTGCCGGTGTTGCGCCCACACCATCGACTGCGGAAGACGCCACAGGATCGCAACCAGCACCTGCAACTATAGCCACCACGCAGCCCACACAAGACGCTGCATCTGCTTCCTCAGCCACAACGTCGTTGGAACGTCTTGTAGCTGCTCTGAACGGTGCACCTCCGCCCGAAGCTACGACCTCGCGCCCGTCGGGCTCGTCTACGACCGTTGAGGTCGATACAAGCGCCCAACAGATGCCCACTGGCGAGGCGACCGTTTCGCATCCGGCTGTCACATCTATAGACGTCGAGGCTCAACAACAGCTTGACGCGTCCGCAGCTGAGACTACTGCAAATAGACAGCCTGTAGAGAAGGATGTGCCTATCGATCCAGCTTTGCTCGCAGAGACTGAGGTAAGCCTATGTAGGATGAAAATGCGACATCTGTTGACCATGATCGTCAGGGAGCTGGTCCATCGAATGCGCCGCCCGCCACATCCGATGTAGCGACGCCAGACCCAGCGAAGAGCTCCAAAGCCGAGGAAAAGAAACCCATGGGACGCCCGCGCGGCAACGTCTCGCTCATGCGCCGCGAAAACGAGTTCATGAAGCTCCTCAACGACTTCAACGGCGTCCTCAACCCCGGCTCCAAAGAGTTCACCGACGCGCATCTCGAGCTCCTATCCACGCTCGCCGCAGCAAACGAGCCCACCAGCGGTCTACCCGGTATACGCGTCGACAAGCGCACCTCGCATACGACGTACGATAGCCTGGAGACGAAGGGGAAGGTCAAGCAGTTGAAGACTATCGTCACGTCTAGCCTGGGTCATTCGAGGCAGGTTCGCGTGGTGTATTTGCCGAACGTTGAGCAGGCGAGGGTGCAGGCTTTCTTGGAGCAGATCTCGAGTCATGGAGGGTCGAGCGCGGCTGCGTCGAGGACGCTCAAGTGGCAGGATGCTACGGTTGTCGAGACGCCTACGCCGGCGCCGGAGCAGCAGCAGCAGTCATCGTCGCGGGCGCGATCGCCGCTCGTTATGCGGAACTCGATGCCTCATCTGGTACCGGAGAAGTCGCTGCCAGTCGATTTACTGCAGGTCGACAAAGGAGACGTCGACGCGAACAAAGCTCGTTCGGATAAGCTTTTCGCGCTCGACGACGACACGTTGCGCGAGGTGTTCTTGACCGAGAAGAACACCCTCGCGCAGAAGTACGGCTGGCTCCCCGGCAAAGCCGCGCGCGCTCGCGAGGTCCATATGGCCGGCTTGGAAGAGATCACCAAAGCCGAACCGCGCTCGCGCCACGTCGTCTCGGCCGACCAACGCATCCTCAGCTCGTCCTTCTTCTTCAACGATCTGCGGCTGGAGAGGTGGCTCAAGATCGTGTCCACGCTCACGCACAACGAAGAGCTGACGAAGTTGATGGAGACGGAGGAGGGGAAGAAGATGCTGATGAGCGCTGTGCCGGCGTCTATCGACGTCGATCTGCAGATCGGGAAGGCGCGCTCGAGGGCGCGGTTCTTGGACTTGTTCGAGGTGCTGTGCGATTTGAAGATCGTTACGCCGCTTAGACCGAGTACGGCGGAGGACGCGCCGATCAAGGTTGCGCAGACCAGCCCGACAAGTGAACATCCCACCGCGTTCGAGGTGTGGTCGGACAACTGGCGCGCATCCACGAGTCGCCAGGCCGCGCCTAGCTATTGGAAGTTCAACGAGCAAGGGCCTATGTACCTTTGGGTCATATCGCAGGAGGCGCCACCGTACTGGAAGGACGTTCCCGTGCGGACGGTTGACGATGCGGCGGCGTATTGGGAGGAGGTCGAGCGGGCGTCTATTGTGCGATCAACTGCCGACGGCGTGATGCTCCCCGAAGGCGGCAGCCCGACGGGCGTGGAGATCAACAGCATCCATCTCTCGCGCACCTTGCGCCGCTTGTCGTCCTGGAGAGCGGAGTACGAGCTCAGCTGGCACCAGAAGCATTATCTGCGCCACTATGTCGATGTCAAGACGGGTAATACACCCGTTGAGGACGCGGAGAAGGGTGCAGAGAAGATTGCGCGTATAGCGCGGCTTACGAGCGCGCCGGTCGATGTTGTGTGCGATTACTTCGAGAAGGCACGTAAGAAGGCTCTTCGCGATTTGGAACGCGTACAAGCGAAGGCGAAGGCGGCGCCGCTTCCTCGTGCAGGAGAGAACATTGAGGCTCGGCGTGAGCGTATGGCTATTGCGAATGCGCAGAAGGAGAATACCTGGGCGGAGCTACTTGCGCGCATCCATCCGGAGGGACCGCTCCAGGGCTCGCATGCTGCGCGCGTCGCGCGTGTGCACACGAAGTACATGCACGCCGGTGCGGCAGACGAGGAGTTCTGGGAGCACGAGATCCGGAACGCGATGCAGCAGGCCGATATGGCGAACGCTGCTGCTCTTGCGCCCGCCGACCGTTCGCGTGCAGTCGCAGTTCTAGCTGCTGGTGACTTCATCGAAGGCTTGCCCAACATCCCGCAGACCGGGAGATCGGTGCGTGAGCTCATCGAGGCGCAGGGTGCGCCGGTCGAGACGGTGCCCAAGTCGAAGAAGAGCAAGAAGGCGAAGAAGCAGAAAGAGGACGTGGAGAATCAGGAGACGCCTGAGAAGGCGCGGCGCCGGCATCGCTTCTTGTGGAATAAGGAGTTCGACGAGCTCGTTGAGGACGCGATGGTCATCGTCCGCTCTCGCTGCAGTGATATGACGCGCATCGAGCTCGGCGCTCTTGATCAAGTCTTCCCTGGCGTACCGCGCAACTCGGTGCGGCAGCGCTATACTACCCTTCGAGCGGAACCAGGCAAGGACGCGTACCTCAAACGTTTGGAGGATGCGTGGGTCATGGTCTGGTTGGAAAAGCGGAACAAGTACGACACGATCCCCGACCCGGACCCGAATAGCGCTACGAACTTTGACCTTGTCAAGCATGTCGAGTTTCTGCGAAAACATGTCGATAAAAAGCCCTTGTAAGCTCCATTCTCTTGGTGTATGCCCATCGTCACTGACTCATGATTCTTCATAGGCGTACTAATCGGCAAAGTGACGTGAACCTGCCAACAAGCGTCTCCGAGCTCGAGTTGCTCTACGACATCGAAGACCATTCGTCTGCTGCATCCGGATGGGACTTCGTGTGGACATCCGTGACTGAGGAGGGTCGAGAGAAGGGTCTGCTGCAGAACGCTTTCTATACTGAGAGCGACATCATTCCCGTCGATGATGATGCGAGCGAGGTCATTCGGATAGCTGAATGCGGGCTGAAGGTATGAGTTTCTCCTACTCGAATATGGGTCGTAGCTCAACGCATTGCACTGCTAGATGATCTACGCCACGCCTGCCGACCGATACAACACTGAACGGGCTCAGTCTCTTCTACTCGACTTGGGTCAAGGACCAGATGCGCACCAAGCCGTTGCTCTTGCTCAGAAGAGGCTGCAAGACTTGGGCGTCTTGTCGAAGCTCGTTTACGACCCGAAGAAGCCGAAACCCGGACGCACAATGAAGATCTCCGAAGCCAATTCGAATGCTATTGGCGGTGTCATCTCCAAAGATACGTTCCAGGATGCTGCGACGATCGATGCTCTGTACAAGCAACCTGGCTTGGACTGGCAGGAGTGGTCGCTGGAGGCAACGGATGGTGATCTTGCTATGCTCGTGCAAGCCACATCCGCAGGGACGGTACGCTTGCCTCGAGTTTTCGCGATGATCTTTGAAGCTCACATCATGTTCGTTGGCAGGCACAGTTTCGGGTAGACACCAGTAACGCACAAGAGGCTCGTCCCAAACTTGACTGGAACAGCAAGAAAGCTGGTAAGTTGAACTGAGTTCTGTGAGGGACAGTGCTGACCGCTCTACTCAGTGGATAATGACATTGAGACGAGCATCTCCGTCAAGATCGTGGCTGAGACGCCCGCCCCTAGTGATCGCCCTTCTCCGTCTACCCAGCCGACTTCCTTCGTCGCCGACGTCGCCGAGCGTCCCGCACCCATGGATACAAACGACAGCACGCCTCATGGACAGACCGAGGATGGCGGGCCTGCCTGTTGCCGTCTGGTATCAGATGGCGCGGTCGACTGCGCCGCGTGTGTACGGACCGAACTCGAAGAAACGATGGCATCGTTGAGCGACGAGCAGCGCACCCAGTGTACGAACCTTCTTGAAGTCCTCGATGAGGCTGGCTCGGGTGGTCTATCGAAAGCACAACTTGCGGAGAAGGTACGTGGCGCATCAGGTTCATTGACGACTTCGCTAATCCCAATAACCGCAGCTCTACTCGTCCGTCGCCGAACTTGTTCCCATATTGGAGCTTCTGCTAGATGCTACGATGCCTCCCGTGTTCAACGTGGGCTATAGCTTGCAGTTCCTCGTCGCCGCTCGGTATATTCGCCCGTGGACCGCGACTGTTTCCCTCGAGCCACTCTCGCGCGTCCTTCCTCGTCGTTGGCTAGACATCGGCGGACGCAGGATACCGGACGTCTATGAAGGAGCCCAGCGTGCTGTCATGAGCACCATCCTTCTTCGTCCGGGCATATCGCAGGTGAGCGGCCCATGATGATCGTCCGGTGCCAGTTGCTCATGTGCGACAGGCTGAAATCTGCTGGCGGATGAAACTATTGTACGATGCGCAGGAGGTACTGGAGGTACTCAGGACCCTTCACGATGCTAACTTTCTTTATCGTCGAAGCAAGTATGCCTCGATGAACTCGCTCATAGCTCCCAGTGCCGAAGAGGAACGGCATGCGATGTGGTTCGTGGCTGAACGGCCTTGGTATCAAGTGTAACATGTACTGCTGCTTCGAACCGCTATACTGTGCTTGTAATGTTCGTGGATGTGGATGCTTTTGATAGTTCTTGGACGATTGTAATGACTGTAGAGATGTACTTACTGTTACTGGTTCCCCACAAGGGCCTTGCCATGCATGCATGCAGTGCTCATTTGCACACAGTCCGGATACGAGTTCCGTGGGCGGCGATAAGCCGGTCGAGGTTCGTTCGGCCCGGTCCGGCCGGCGTCGGCGCGGCCTGCGATGTCCGTTTGTGCGTTGGATCCCGCCACCAGGTCTTCTTGTCTTCGTGTACAGTCTACCCATCGTTGGAGGTCACCAAACTACCATTATGCATGTGCGGTGAGATTTTGCTCTCGTCGCACGCGCGGCGAGCTTTGCTACGTCAGCGGCGCCGGCATCATACCCGGAACACTTTCAGGACGACAATCCAGAGTCTCCGGCCATCAAGCCCTCGCCCTCACGTCCAACATGCTGATGTCGCGTGAATTCATCGATTGCGTAGGACTGGGCTTGGCACGCCGTAGGTCTGAGTGTCTACTCGGACTTGGGCGTCCCTACACGTAGCCTCCTGGCAAGCAGCGGCGTCACCCGCCTCACAGCATGGGCAAACATCGCCGCAATTTGCTGTCGCGCCTGTTGGATCCGTGTCTGGCGTACTCAATGTGATCGGAGCGTACTCTCCGGAGTATGCTCGAGTTGCCTGAAGGCGGCGTCGACGGCGGAGGTATATAAAGTGCCCTAGTGTCGAACACTGGCCTCTCCTTGTCGAAGCCCGTTCATCGCTTGTTGACAACACATCCTTCCTCATTCGCCTTTCCCCCTCTCCTACCTCAAACACAATGAAGGTCTCTGCCTCGCTCACCGCCATTGTCCTCTCTCTGTCCGCATCCGCCGCGCCCACGACGCTCACTGCGAGGTTCAACAAGAATTACGACCGCTGCACCACTGGTCGCACGTCGGCGAACTACCTCAGGGACAACTATCAGCCTTGGATTGAGCAGTTGGTACGTCTCTTCACGTTTTGTTAGCGAGAAGGTCGCATCTAACGGCGCAACTCCCAGTTCTCGCCATGTGTTGGCCCTACCAACCAGAAGAACATCTGGTCTAGCAGGACCTGCGTTGCGGCAGCGGTCGCGATGGGCGTAAGTGGTGTCCCCTTCACTGTAGCTTGATCGTAATGTCTGATCGCCTACACCAGCCTGCTGTCATCACCGACTTCGCTGTCTGTGATAAGGCGGACGCCCTGTTCGAGACCGACCAGCCAAACCTCGACTACGGCGTGTACGCGAGCATTGTTGGCGACTGTGCATACGACACCAAGGCCTGCCCCATCACGGAGCAGAACCTCCTCGACCTCGTCTACAGCGAGCTGTCGAAGGCGGGTGCTACCATCTGGCCTGCGTAAGTTGCATTTACCATCATGTCTCTTGGTCAGATCTCTGACGTCTTGAATTGCAGTGATGGGTCTGAAGTCCTCGCGGACGTTGTCGCTCCTGTCATCGAGTGGGCGAGCGGCAGCTACACGGGTACCGTGGGCTACACCCGCTTCAACCAGTGGCTGCACGTCTCGGGCTACCCGGGTACCATCACGGACGGCGGCGAGCACACTGACGGCAAGACGTACTACTATGACCACGAGAGCGACCGCGACTAAGCGGTGACTTGCCGAGCGTCTGCGTGGACGTCTACTATTTCAATTTGGGAATATTGTCATGGACTAACGAACATTCTACGCCTTACTACGGACCTTTTTCACACATACCATTACCGATAATCTTGTAATCTCAGATACGATAGTCGTAGCCGTCGAGTCAGGCAGGTTATGCAGTCAATTGAACCTCTTTACCTTGCTGTCGCTGCAGCCAACGGATTTTCGGCCTTAAGATGGCATTGTGAACGTATGAGCACACGCCATTGGCCCCATCATGGATTGGTCGAGTAAGTAATACTAATAGCCACACCGGCACTGTTATGTTTATGATTTTGATCTGGGGCATTGCACGGACTATCATGGACAATCTTCCACGCTTCTGCAGGCGTACATCCTTTACGTATAGTCTAATACTTTGTATTTTTTTTGCATACGAAATCTATAAATGTCGAATTAGGCGGGTTATATCAAGGACGCTCCTTGGTCAAGACATAATCAATCCTCTATCCCTGACATGTCGACTTGATCAGGGTGACCTTCATCTCATATACGTCGCTTGGCGGACCGCCCGAAGTTTGTTTCGATAGTGCGGACGCCCCAGCATGAGCATCTTGAAAGCGCGACGGATGAGGCCTCGTGTATCTGTACAACCGTTGTGAACGTATAAAGATTCTCGTCCGGGTGCACAACTTACGCAGACTCGTTAACGGAACTCTGGCGTTTGTCGAAAAGGCCCTTCAAGGCGCGGTATAGTCGCGTTGCACCGATGGGACTGTGGGGCGGTGAGTATGTTTCCCCGGAGAGAGCCAAGATTGCCCTCACAGCATCAGAGCTGCGTCGTGACCGTGTGAGTGAGATGCATGTGAAAGCGCGAAGATCGATGAGGAGGTCTCACTGAAAGGAAGATCGAACATCTATCAGATCCCTTCAGTCGGCATATCTTCTTATCGGTACGTTGTGGACACGTACCACCAGCACTGTTGTCACAGACGACCGTCACTACGTGTCCAATTTCACATGAAGTCAGGCCAAAGCTGACACACCATCCTGGTTCATGTATAGAAAAGCCTTGCATTTCGTCAGACGTGAAGTTGAGAGCCAAGGGGAACGACAATTCTTACAGTCAGGGGTACCTCGACTACCGTGATGATTGCCAGATGTACTAGGCCCTAAAGCTTGCGTCAACGAATGGCACTATGGCTCAAGTTGGAGTCTGGCGCATACCTGAGTCAAGAGGACATACCAGAGGCCGAAAACACCTGCTGCACTCCAGCGTCTTCGAAGTCCGTCCAATAGCAGCAAGAGCAGGGAAATATCCAAAACCAGGTTACCAACTATGGGGGTAACTTTGAATTTTCCACCAACTGCGTTGCATGCAGGGCCAAATAGATTTCCACTGGAGCGCCCCTCGATCTTCGGGCATCAGTTCCAGATATATGTGAGAAGGAGCGGCCCATACTAGTATGACAGCTGCAGTGACCTTTTTTCTTAGCCATCTTGCATAACCATCGATAGAAGAAGAACTGACCACAAATCGCCAACGCGAATATGACAGAGTAAATCGAGAGGAAAGCATATGTGAGCCGTCTGTCCCAGCTCCAGACGACCCCACTGCAAAGGCATTTCAGGACCACTGTATATAGACATGAGTCTCATAAGTCTAGTAGCGCTTACACTCGTACAAAGAGAAGCGCAGTGGCACTGAGTAATGCAGATATCACCGTGCCCTGCCTCGCAATCGTAAGCCGGCTTGTAAAGAAGGATCAAGGTTTCAGCGGACATAACCGAGTTTGATGATCAGCTATGAGCAAAGATGAGCCTTCGACAGTACATCAGGGAAGCGGAAGGCACACTCACCGAGCAACCCAGGCCCCCAGGACCCGCATCTATGAGGATGAGGCCCGAACATGCGGCTAGGAGCGAGCACCTGCAGATCATGTACAGCTTGTGCAAGCATATACGGGTCAGTTTCAGGCATGTCAAAACTAGGTATCACGATTCTTACCGCTTTGACGCCTCTAGCTAGAAGGGAACGTGTAGTGTTGTTCCGGGTGACTAGTATGTAGTCAAAGCGGACTGAGCAAAGAAACTCGTAGCTGGAAGATGATGGGCGGACGAATAAGCATGTCTTGTGAGCGTGAGCGTCAGCACAACGATGCGCACAGATAGACGCCGAGCAAAACGGAAAGCAATCTTTCGTACGCGACTGGACAGTCAAAGTGAGTGATCCCATCTAACTCATGCGGAGACCAGAAATGCAAGTACCTGCAGCTCCAAGCAAAGCCTGAGGACTCGACTGATCCGCCATGGTGTTGAGCGAGGAGTACGAGGATGTCGTGGCGGGAGCGTAAGCGTCTTATAGTCGTAGAGAAACGTATGCATGCGGGTATCATCCAAAGACCATGGTGGATTCGTGTTGAAGGCGGTGAGCGATCGAGCCATCAAGAGTGCCGCAGACGGGTAGTGTACCAGCCGCATAGGGATGTTGCACACACTGGCTCATCATGACTAGTAGGTCGGTTACTGCCCATATGCGACGGACAGGCAAGCGCTGTACATCGATAGATGGGAGTGCGTCATAGACGCGCGCCTGACTCACAACCAAAGGGGCATCCTATCAATTGGACCTTGCAAATCTGTATAGTTGCTCGCTTGTGAGTGCGTGTATGCTCGATTGCATGGTGGTGGCCCATGTCCAACCTGGAGAAGGCGCCAAGTAACTCATAAACACGTCCTCGTGATCATGGGAGCGTTTGTCGCGTGGCGGCACAAAACACGAGGCTTGCCCTGGGCTTGCCGCGGACTTCTATGCACGTACTTACCTCAGACGAGGTCCATCATGCTCTCGGTAACATCCGCTACTCGGGACTGTACCGATAACCCGTCGGGACATCGTTCTGGGAAGATACTTCACCTCGCACGACCGAGCCAGCGTCCGGGCTGTGATTGATCGAATAGAGGCGGGGCGTGATACACCGTCACACAGCGAATATCCTGCTCCGGATACCGACGGATGATGATCCTCCCCAAGCCAGGACTTCTGCTTGACCTCACAGCATGGCCACGCATCTCCGAAAGGCGTTGTGTACTAGAGCCCCGCTGTCTGCTTGGCTCATGCGGTCGGGAGATATTGCAGTTGCGGAAGCCGTGCTCAAGTCGCTGAACGGTCTTGGCTGCCACACACCTGTCGGGTGCTTGCGCAACCAATGGTGCCGAATATAAGATGACCTGATTCTCCGAACGACTCTCTCGTCAAAGCTTCTCTGCGCCTCTTTTGACACCTAACGCACTTCCTTCTTATTCCCCTCCCCATTTTCCTTATCCCTTTTCAGAGATAATGAAGGTCTCCATCTCCCTCACTACCCTTGCACTCGCTCTATCAGCATCCGCTGCACCTGGAACACTCAAGGAGAGAGACGAGGTCTACACTCCGGACCGCTGCAAGGAGGGGAGTTCTACGGCGGGTTACATGAGGGATAAGTTCCATCCGTGGATCGGGCAGCTCGTACGTCTGCTTCGCTCTCTTGTTGCCTTATTCAACGTCTGACTGTGAGCCTTCTCTATAGGTCAAGCCCTGTACTAGCCCGACGGACGGAAAGAACATCTGGTCGAGCAGGACCTGCGTAACCGCCGCTATCGCGATGGGCGTAAGGCATACATCTTCGGTTCGGATGCGGTACTGGGCTGATGCGACTTCTGCAGCCTGCTGTCCTCACGGACTTCGCTGTCTGTGACAAGCCCGATACTCTCGAGGAGACTGAGCAGCCCACTCTCGACTACAGTGTCTACGCGAGCATCGTCGGCGATTGCGCCTACGATGCCAAGGCATGCCCCATCACTCGACAGAACCTCCTCGACCTCATCTACAGCGAATTGGACAAAGCTAGTGCGACTATCTGGCCCGCGTACGTCGCTTGCACTCCTATGTACTTCTAAATCATGATGATCTGATTGCTTGCGTAGTGATGCTTCTGAGGTCGTCACGGACGTTATTGGCCCTGTCATGGAATGGGCGACTGGCGACTGGTCGGGCACCGCCAGTTATACGCGTTTCAACCAGTGGCTGCATGTCTCGCCTTACCCGAGTATCATCGGGGACGACGAGCATACTAGCGGCAAGACCTACTATTACAACCACGAGAGCGACCACAACTAGGTGGTGACTCGGGATGCGCCAGCTATTCTAGTGAATGCTCTGTCTTGTTTCCTAGACGGACATCGCATGGACTACTGTTACTCCCCTTGTGCCTCTACATGTGTACATCTTTCCTTGACAACTCATACTCTAACTGTCGATCTATTATTGGAGTCATGGTCATGCCATGCATGCGTATCACTACCAACCATGCTAGCTTGGGGCATCGCATGACAGGACACTCAAGCCCGCATCTAGGCGTCTTCGTTCGTTCGTTTTAGCGGTGAAGCGATCCGCTCGTTGTCCATCTCGTACTCGTCTCGTTCGGATCTTTCAATGATGTACACCTTCGTAGCTGTCTCCGGCGCGTCAAGAGCCTGAAGACGCGGAGCTTGAGGTACTGTGAACCTATGAACTCGATCATGAGTGGAGCGCTCATGCTGTAACAAAAGCTGTATCCCTACGTTGACTCGTAAGCAGGTCTGTTACTGCCCTTGCCCGCGAATTGTGTTAGGGAGCGGTAGAGCCGCGTCGCACCGATAGGGCTGATGAGTGATCAGTAAGGCCCGCTCATTGGCTGGTACACTAGCTCTCACAGCATCGGAGCTGCATCATTGCATCGTGAGCGACGACGGTAATTGAAGGAGAACGGACATAGCGTACTGAATGGCAGGTAAAACGACTACTGTGATTCAGTTGCGCGATTCATGTGCTGAGGATTGGAAGCTTACCACCCAAGCTATCATCGCACGAGACAAGGGTCAGCAAGCCATCGATGAAGAGCTGTGATTGAGCAGGGGAGCCACCTTTGTTGCTCAGAAACAGGAAGGTCTTGTGTAGACATTGTATCAGTGTATGGTTCGAGATCTCGTCACGCGAGCTCTCACCGTCAAGGGCGCCTCAATGCTGACTATGATCATCAGATACAACAGGCCCTGCCCCGAGGTTTGCGTCAGTCGATGGCGATGGAGGCAATTATACATCCCGGTCGACTCACTTGGTTCCAGAGGACACGCCAGAGTGAAAAGGCACCAGCGTCACTCCAACGTCGTAGACCGATAAGAAGTAGTATGAGCAGCGCGACGTCCAGTACGAAGAACGCCACGAGAGGAGGCGTGTTGTAGTCTTCGTGACCCAACATAGTGCATCCTACGCCGAAGGCGTCAGGGCCGTGCTCCCTCCCGATCTTGACAATCATCGATGTGCATCAGCCCAAGTTTCTGCAGAGAGGACAGAAGGCGCACAAGTACGACGGCTGGAAATAGCAGGTCAGGCTACCGTTCATGATCGCCGGTGTGCGAAGAACTCACCGCGAACACCCAATGCTATGATGGCCAGATAGATCGGGATAAACGCACATATGAGACGTCTGTCCCAGGTCCAGATGACGCCGCTGAGGATATTAGTCAGGCTACAGCGCGTCCTGATCGGTGCTTCACACATCACGTACACTCTCACGGACAGAAGCAGGGTCGCACTGGCTATCGTGGCCAACGCCGTACTCTGGGACGAGTAGTTATACTCGGCTGTGACCAAGTCGCGCGAGAGAGATGAAGTGGACTGACGTAGACGACCCTCTCGACGAACTAGACGAAAATGTAAGGCAATGTCGTGTGACGAATGAAGGCATGGCACTCACGAAACAATGGGTTGTAGATCTGATCGAAAACTTCAGTAGGACGAGGCTGGCTATGCACTCGACCAGGATCGAGCACCGGCAGACTATGTATAGCTGATGCAAATGTGAGTATGTGGAAGTGGAAGACATGAGAGAGGATGTGGAAATGGTTTACCCCCTTCACCCCGATGGCTAGACGGGAGCGCTTGGCGTCGCCCCCGGCGAATAGATTCCAGTCAAAGCGGAGCGGGCGCACGAGCTCATAACTGATTGGCGAGGTGAGCACTACACGGGCGTGGGAATAGCGTGGAGATGCGTACATATAAACACCAAACACCACGGAGAGAAGATTATCAAGTGCGACTAGTCACCGCATCAGCTTGCAGCTCGTCAGATCATGTATGTCACGTACGATTCAAGTTAGCGAGAGTCTTAAGGCTCGACATGTCCATCACAGCGGTGGTAGAAAGGAGGATAGTTGGAACTCAGATGGCAGCGCAATTCTTCTTATATCTGTGAGGGCTTGAACGCTAATATACGGGGGCGGGTATCGTAACTGGGCGGTGCGATCGAGGCGGTGGAAGCTGGGAGAGTTCTCAAGGAGTGCTCACTTGTGGAGTGACGATGAAGATAGTAGTGCTGAGGTTGAGATAATCTCTACCTGAGTTCACCAGCTTATGTCTGCGCAAAAGAACGACAGCAGCATACCTTCTGTACTGGCATTAGCTTCTGTCGGAGAGGAAGTAGACTAAGACTCTGCGCACCTTCACTCCGGACCGAGCGGGCAATTGACGGGGTTGAGATCAGGTCGAACATCAAATGCGGGCACGCAGATGACTACTTGAGGTACGTGCAATGGAGCGAGAAAACCATAGGTTGATCCACGTTTCACGCTCTGTGGGGACCGGGGAGGGAGCCGACTCGACCAACTGACGGGCCGTTACGAAGCGACAGTCTCCAAGCGGGCGAGGTGGGGCCGTGATATCGCAGAAAGCTGTCTCCCGAGCCGTGAGGTCGTACACTTGGAAGCACACTTTTCATCGATCAGACTGCAAGGTACACTAATGCAATCGCCCCAATGTGGTCGCGAGGAGAAAGACGCGTGAAGGAGAATATCCGGGCTATAAACGCGCCCTCGTGACCCTGCGAACTGTTCGTGTCGCGTCGAAATGAGCGCGTCGTGGTCGCCTTGTGTCGTCTCTCCGCTCCCACCTCCTTCCGCACCAAGATGTCGTTCCCCGACTCTGGCTCGTCGGGCGATGCGCTGATGGAAGAGCGCACGCGGCTCTTCGAAGAATTCCTGACGTCCGACTCTGCGCACTACAACTACAAAGACGACATCCTGTCCATGCTCCGCCAAGAGAAGACGCGGCTGATCGTCAACGTCGACGACCTGCGCGACGCCAAACGCGAGCTGGCGGACAACCTGCTCAACCACCCCGTCGATTATTTGCCCGCGTTTGATCAGGCGCTCGTGAACGTGATCACGCAGGTGCACGACGCGGAGAAGCACGAGATCGACAATCGCGGCTTCAGGATCGGGTTGAGTGGCTCGTTCGGCGATCACCATGTCAGCCCGCGGACGCTCAGGGCGTCGCATATCGGCCAGATGATCTCCCTCGAGGGTATCGTCACGCGTTGCTCGCTCGTTCGGCCCAAGATGCTCCGTTCAGTCCACTACTGCCCTGAGACGGGCCACTTCCACGCACGCGAGTACCGCGACGCCACGAGCTCTACTTCGAACCAGGCGCCCACTTCGAGTACGACACCGCAGACGGACGATGATGGCAACCCGCTCCAGATGGAGTATGGCTTTTCGACGTTCAGGGATCATCAAAGGATTAGTATTCAGGAGATGCCGGAGAGGGCACCGGCAGGGCAGCTGCCGAGGAGTACGGACGTCATTCTCGACGACGATTTGGTGGACAGGTGTAAGCCTGGCGACCGTATCCAGCTCGTGGGAACGTACAGGAGCGTCGGTGGTGGCGCATCTGGGTCTTTCAAGTGAGATCCGTCTGTGTAACTGTCTCCTAGGATATCCGCTAACGAGTCGCAGGACACTGATCATGGCCAACCACATCGTACTCTTAACCTCCAAAGCAGGCGGTGGCATCGCCCAAACACCCCTCACAGACTCGGACATCCGCATGATCAACCAGCTCGCAAAGGGCAAGAAGAAGATCTTCGACTTACTCTCCGAGTCTCTCGCGCCATCCATCTACGGCCACGATATCATCAAGCAAGCTATTCTTCTCTTGCTCCTCGGTGGTGCGGAGAAGAACTTGCCGAATGGGACGCACATCCGTGGAGATATCAACTTGCTGATGGTCGGCGACCCTTCAACAGCCAAGTCCCAGCTCTTGCGCTTTGTGCTCAATATCGCGCCGCTGGCTATTGCCACGACCGGACGCGGAAGTTCAGGTGTCGGTCTTACAGCTGCGGTTACGACCGACCGTGATACGGGCGAACGCAGGCTCGAGGCGGGCGCGATGGTGCTGGCCGACCGCGGTGTCGTCTGTATCGACGAGTTCGACAAGATGTCGGATGTGGATCGCGTGGCTATCCACGAAGTCATGGAGCAACAGACCGTCACCATTGCCAAGGCGGGCATTCATACGAGCTTGAACGCGCGCTGCAGCGTCGTCGCTGCCGCCAACCCCATCTACGGCCAGGTAACTCATCTATCTCACTCGATTATGTTGGAAGCAGGAGCTGACGGTGTATATATAGTACGACGTGCACAAAGACCCGCACAAGAACATCGCCCTCCCCGACTCCCTCCTCTCCCGTTTCGACCTCCTCTTCGTCGTAACCGACGACGTCGACGAAACGCGCGACAGAATGATCGCCGACCACGTCCTGCGCATGCACCGCTACCTCGCGCCCGGCGTCGAAGAAGGCACGCCCGTGCACGACTCGCTCTCGCAGCCCCTAGCCATCGACCACCCGTCCGCCACGCAGGACCTCGCCGAGGCAGGCGAGACGCAGGCGTTCGAGAAGTACGACCCGTTGCTGCATATTGGGGTTGCTGGACGGAGCACGCGGACGCGGGCGGGCCAGGCGAAGAAGAGGCAGATTTTGAGCGTCGGGTTTATTAAGAAGTATATTCAGTATGCGAAGAGCAAGCCGGCGCCGGTGCTTACGCAGGGCGCGGCGGACCATATTGTGCAGGTGTATGCGGATGTGAGGAACGCGAGTGAGGAGGGGAATGCGAAGCGGGTACGTTCATCGTTCCCTCCATTCCTTTTCCGTATCTGACATGGTATCTATTACAGACATCGCCGCTGACGGCCCGTACACTCGAAACGCTCATCCGTCTCGCGACCGCGCACGCCAAAGCCCGCCTCTCGGCCCGCGTCGAAGTCCAAGACGCAGAACAAGCCGAGAAGATCCTCCGCTTCGCGCTCTTCAAAGAAGTCATCCGCCGCAAAGCGCGCAAGCGGCGCAAGATCGGCGCTGGGGGCCAACACGTCAGCGACGATGAGGCCGAGACGGACCAGGAAGATGAGGATGAGGAGGTCGAGCAGGCTGTGGAGCGTATGCCTATGCCTGGGCAGAAGAAGGATGATGATGCGGATGGGAGGAGGAGCGCGGAGAGGGACCCGGTGTGGGATGAGAGCCAGACGCAGGTGGGGACTGGACCGCAGGGTATGGATATGGATATCGAGCCTAGTGCGGCCACTTCGACAACCGCGACGGCCGCGAACTTTAGCCAGACCGGGACGCTGAACCCCGCTCGGTATGTCTTCTCCTTCTCCGTCCGCCTTTGTACGCCCCATGCTGACATATGGCGCATAGAATTCAACTCTTCCGCTCGCGCGTGGCGCAGCTCTGGGCGAACCAATTCGCCAACGAGGAGCAGCTGTTCCTCACGGACCTGCTGCCGGCCGTGAACGCGGATTGGCCGGCCGAGCAGCTGTTCGGGACTGCGGAGGCTACGGCTGTATTGGAGGTTATGACGAGGGATAATGAGCTTATGCTGGCGGATGGGATCGTTTATCGTGTGTAAGGAGAGGCGATTGGTGGGGGAGGTGGAGTTTGCCGGAGAGCTCTCGTTGGATGGCGATGGCGGGAGGAGGCGGTGTTGGTGCGTGTGTGGGTGCATTGGAGTCGCGGTTGGCTAGCGCGGCGTGTTCGGCGTGCTCTCGAGCTCTCCCCAACTCGTTTACCGCGTTTACCGCGTCTAGATCGCGAGATCCACGCCGTTTTCCCCACTTGGCCATCTCTTCTCGCCTCCGTTTTTGACGTTTCTTGGTACCTGTACTTGTGCTCGGCTGAACATCTATGTTGTATACGTATACCCTTTCAGACTTCTAGTAGATTGGGCGACGCGGCGACGTCGGACGGTGGGTTCTAGTCGAGGGAAAGGCAGCTGTCAAGATAGGATGCCCCCGCATGGGAGGTGAACGTTTACGCTTAGAGTCAGAGTTGAGGCTGAACTGGAGAGCCGAATCGACGAGCTCAATATGGACGGCGAGCGCGTCGTACAGGGTCTTGTCATCGCGCCCTGCTCTGAGCGTTCGAACTTTGTAGCATCGACAGGCGCTGGAAGGTTAGACGTGCTCTGTTCCTTTTCTGGAAATGTGGCCCGGGCGGCTCGGCCGGTGTCCGGACGTCACCGCGTCAGCGGAGGCAATTCACCTGTCAATGTGTCAATCAAATTCGCACGATACATGTAGTGGAAATCACAAGCCTGAGAAGCGCATTGGATCGTGCGTCAATCCACACACATCAACCCGGCGCGGGGGAAGATGTCGAACGTTCTCCCTTACCTTCGCCTGTGTGCTTCTTGATTACTTACTTCTACTCTTCTACTGTCTGACTGACAGAGAAGAAGACGAGCTGGGTCGGTGAAGTTGCCTTCCCTCTACGACTACGGACATCATCAGTGAACTGTGATGGCCGTGCTCTCTACGCTCCGTCCGTCGCCCGAACGGCTCGCGGCGCTCGTATCGGCCTACTCTCGACACCGTCCGGCCATCCAACGCGGTCTCACAGCCAGCTTCGTCTTATACGTCTTCGGCACCACCATAACATCCTTCACATCCAAGCCCTCTTCTGGCTCTCCCCGACCAAATACAGGACGCAGCACCGGCGGTAAAGGGAAGGGGAAAGATGGGGGTGGGGACGGAAAGGCGCCCAAGGTTGCAGTAGACGCGGTGTTCTATGAGAGGTTGTCGAGGATATTGAGGATTGTGATTCCGAGGTTGAGGAGTAAAGAGGCGATGCTGCTTGTTATGCATTCCAGCTTGCTCATCTTCCGGACGGCTATTTCGCTTTATGTCGCTGCTTTGGACGGAAAGTACGTGTTCCATCTGACCATCTATGTCGCATCCGCTAACACGAGGCTTGCAGGATCGTAGCGTCACTTGTACGCGCGCAAGCCGTGCCGTTCATGCTCAACATCTTGCGATGGTTGCTCGTGGCTATTCCCGCGACGTGGACCAACTCGTGGTTGAGCTATGTCCAAAACAAGCTGGCCATTGCTTACCGCACGCGTCTCACGGACGTCGTGCTGGGTCAGTACCTTGGAGACGAGAACGACCCGAGTGATAAAGTGTACTACAAGCTCGGTACGTCTCTCGCAGCCCACCTCTAACCTGGACAGCATACTGACGTTTACCCTCATAGCGAACTTGGACGACCGAGTAGTCAATGCAGATCAGTACGTCTAAGCTCTCCGTGTACCTCTAATGAACATGAAGCTGATAGTATACACAGAATGATCACAGTCGACATCCAACGCTTCTCGAACCACCTCGCCGCCATCTACGCAAACCTCGCAAAGCCCATTCTGGACGTCTGCTTGTACAACTACCAACTAGCGCAAAACGTCGGCGCAGAGGGCCTCGTAGTCCTCACAGTCCTCGTCCAGCTCTCCGCCGTACTCCGTGCGCCCTTCCCTCATCTCCCTTCCCGCTTTCCTGAACTGATGAACCTCGGTGTTTGTGTAGTGCGCAAGCTCACGCCGCCCTTCGGCGCCTACACCGCCCTCTCCGCGCACCTCGCCGGCCAGCTCCGCCACACACACGCCCGCCTCTCCGAATTCAGCGAAGAGATAGCCTTCTTCGGCGGCGAAGAGGCCGAGAAGATGCGTCTCGAGCGCGAGTTCGCGGCGCTGCAGGCGCACGAGGATCAGGTGCTGGGCGCGCGGTGGTGGCACGGGTGTGTCGAGGAGGGGATCGTGAAGTGGCTGTGGGGAAGCTTTGGGCTGATGCTTTGTGCTATTCCGGTGTTCTTTAGGATTCCGGGGGTTAGGGCTGGGGATATGGGCGCTAGGACTGAGGGTGAGTGCTCTGTGCACGCTGAAAGTCGGCAGATACTGATGGGCCATCAGGCTTCGTGACCAACAGAAGGTTGCTGCTGTCCGCATCCGACGCGTTCGGACGCGTCATGTACAGCTATAAGGATCTGGCAGAGCTCGCGGGGTACACAGCGCGCGTCGCAACGTTGCTCGAGGCAATGGGCGATGTTAAAACTGGCAAATTCGAAAAGGCGCTCGCGACGAGCGCTAAGAGCCCCGAGAACATGCGAAGTGTGTTCCCTCTCCCCTCTATACGACCTCACACACTGATCCCCGCTCCGCATCACAGTCCTCAGCGGCCAAGGCAACGTAATCGAGTCCGAAGACATCCGCTTCGACCGCGTGCCCATCGTGACGCCCAACGGCGAAGTCCTGGTCAAATCCCTCTCCTTCCACATCAAGCACGGCCAGCACCTCCTAATAGTCGGCCCCAACGGCTGCGGCAAGTCCTCCCTCTTCCGCATTCTCGGCGGCCTCTGGCCCGTCTACGGCGGCACCGTGCACAAGCCGCCTCCTTCACAGTTCGTGCTGATACCGCAGCGGCCGTATTTGCCGTTGGGGACGCTGAGGGATCAGATCATTTATCCGCATAGTGTTGATGATATGCGCAAGAGGGGGGTAAGGGATGAGGATCTGATGAGGATTTTGGAGGTGGTGAGGATGGAGGGCGTTGTGGAACGCGAGGGCGGGTGGGATGTGGCGAGGGAGTGGAGGGACGCGTTGAGTGGGGGCGATAAGCAGAAGATTGCGTGGGCGAGGTTGTTTTATCATCAGCCCAGGGTATGTTCCTTCTTTCTATCTGCTCAGGGATCGTGCTCACGGGCATGCATAGTATGCGGTTCTTGACGAGGCGACGTCGCTTGTTCCGGTCGAGATCGAGGGTCTGATGATGGACCGCGCGACGGAGCTCGGGATCACGCTGCTCACTGTCTCGCACCGACCGAGTTTGTGGAAGTATCACCATATGATCCTGCACTATGACGGTCAGGGTGGATACGTCTTGTATGTTCTCCTACTTCGCTCACCCAAACATGGCGCTAATGATTACTACCTCAGCACGAAGCTCGACGCGGAGAAACGTCTCGCCCTGCAAGAAGAGAAACAAGCGCTCGAGACGAAGCTGCTTGAAGTGTACGCTCATCTCCTGCTCATTACTGCCCTTACAGTGACTGACGATCATGTACAGGCCGAAGATGAAGGCGAGGTTAGCAGAGCTCATGGAACTAGACGAGGAAGAGGACATCTTCGAGGAGGTTCTGGAGGAAGGTCCTGCGGCGTAGAGCGATACATGTGCGGATAATGCTCAGCCTAGTGTTCTTGTGTAGTTGTAGTGTATTGAGTACACTCGTTGTAATACTCAACGTCTCGAATAGGCTGTGACGTCTACGAAGTCACTTCAACATCCACGAGGGTGTTGATAAGTGACCAGGATATGACTAATTGTACCTTTTGACAATAGTACGCATCCCCGTTGAGGATTGCTGCCTCCAAAGGGCGACAGTCTGGAGCGTCACTACAGGACTTCGCGCGCAAGACATCCTAACGATATTTTGATTCGTCACTCTTGACGCGACTTCACACATGCAGACGAGTTTCTGCATCCTTCGGTCGACTGTAGTTGAGGAAATGCATTGGAATGGATTATAACCAGCCCGCGCATGGAGCGGGCCAGCTAGGCAGGGTCTATGAGTAGCGATGGTGGCGAACGATGGCGCGTGCAGAACATGAATGAATAGCAAGGTATAGTAGCGAAGTGTCGGTCCAAAGCAAGTGTGACCTGAGCGTCATGATGAGCTGGCGAGTCCTCAACATCACAGTACAACGATACATACACTCATGACGCCCTGCAAATGACCTCTCCGTCCAGCCCCAACCTGACCGCATCCCTCGCCTCGACCCACTCATGCTCCTTATTCTTCGTATGCACAACCGCGACCTCGCCCATGCCCAACGGCCTAACAGTCTGCGCCCTCCTCCCACTACAAATCCTCCTGATCTCATCAAACGACAAGACCTTCCTCAAACTCGGCTTCGAGACCGCATGCATCTCATTCAACACCGGTCGCTCGGCCCGGTACTTGAGCTCTGCCCATATCCGGCGTTCGGGCTCCGAGGCCGAGGTGAAGGCGGAGGGTAAGGGCGCTTGGGACGTTCCGCGGGTGAGTGACTGGATGAGCCCTGAGCGGAGGAGGACGGTGAGGATGCCGAGGTTTTGGGTTGTGTGTGGGACGGCAACGCGTGCGTGGCGCGCGCGCGAGGCGTTTTGGATCATTGAGCACAGGTCGTGGGGGAGCACCATCGTGGCTGGAGGTGAGTGAACTGCACATGCGCGGGACGGCGACAGCAAACAAGTCACACCGGCTTTCCGCCACTACGGCGCGGCAATCCCCGGTCGCCAAGCGGTCGGCTCTGGCTTCGCTGGTGCTGGCGTTGCGATATGTATTCGCCACACACTAGCGACCGAGTAAACTAGAACGAGAGACGAGAGGCAAAACTCTTCGATAACGGAAAGCAGCGTATGCTGGTGGGATAATACAAGAGGTATGCTACAAAGCCGCCAGGGTATAGCAACAGCGTAAAGGGTAGAGAGAGCACCTCAAGAAGTAAGAAAGTAGCAGTACTCCCAATAAACAATCATCCATCAGTATTCAGTCGCGTTCGTTCACTCGATGACCCAACGGGCCTTCCCAATCGTCTCCGACTTCCCACTCCCACTAGTCTTTGTACTAGTCCCACTCCTCGAGCTCGCAAAGCTCTTCTGGCTCCCAATAGAGCCCTGCCTCGCAGTCGGCCTCACGCTCTTCGGCAGCCCAGGATGCGCAGTGACAGTCGATTCTGAGCCTTCACGAGAGTACGTAGGCGACGGTGCGCGCGTCGCAGATGACGCCTGCGAGAACGAGAAGCGCGATTGGTATGCGGCAGAGGCGGGGTTGTGGTGCCTGTTGAAGTCCATCTCCATGTTCGAGAGGTTCGGGCTGAGCGCTGCGGGGCCGGAGAGTTGGTCGGACTCGACGTCTAGGGCGGCGTTTTGCTGCATGTAGAAGCGTGGGCCGAGGGTTCGGGTGCCGGGTGGTGGGGGCGGGGCTTCGTCGTCGTAGCCGTAGGCGGCTTCGTATGTGGGGAGAGGGCCTGAGGCAGACGGGAACTCGAACTTCTCGGGGTCGGACATCTTCTCGGCTGTCACGCGCTCGAAGTCGTCGCCGGGCAGGGGTTCTTCCGCGCTCACTGCCATGATTCATCAGTTTCAAAGTAATTGGATGTAGAGAATGCAAGAGACGTACAGTGGTGCTGGAGACCGCGACCAAAGTTGATGCGGCAGAAGATGCCAACAATGAAGCAGATGATGACGAGCGCGACACCGAGGGTGACGATGGCGGCGAAGAACGACCATTGGGCGTATGTCCAGCGGAAGGTGGTAGAGTCGAACATGACGCCCCAGCCGACGATGTAGGCGAAGGAGAGGAAGAGGAAGACGGTCATAGTGATCTTCATTTCACGGCGAACGGCGAACCACCCTCCAACGAGCCAGATGGGGAGCAGCTATGATAGTAGTAAGTACATGTCAGATCAGGTTCGCAAAGAGGTTGAGATTGAGGGACTTACGACCAGGACGATGTACAGAAGGATTTCGTACAGCTTGTGCTCCTTCGCCAACCGCCCAATTGCTCCATTACAGATCTGATCCAGCCAAAGCGCTACGCTCGCAACGACGAAAAAGAGCGACAACTGGATCGTAACCGAGAGCACCAGAACAAGCTGATAAACCCTCTTAATCGTCCTGCTCGCGCCCACCCTCTTGAACGTCTGCCACCCAAACATCTTGATAAGCTTGTACGACAAAAAGATCGACATCAGCAGCCCCGCGCCGTTCAGCGCGAGACTGGGAATCTCGACGTTCGCGCGCGCTTTCCAGTAGGTCGGCAGGAAGTTCACCTGGCATACGCCGGCGGTGATCACTTTGTTGTAGTCGTCGTGAAAGAGCTGGGTTTGGGAGAGCTGGAAGGCGCCCCAGGCTACGGAGGATAAGTGCGTGACGAGGGAGGCGATGATGTGCGGGATTGATTCGTTGAGGAGGGCGACGAGGGACATGCCGAGGACCCAGAATTGGAAGGCGGTGAAGGCGATGTCTTCGCGCTTAGTGTTGTCCAGCCTACATTGTCAATCAGTATATGCGTATACATGGGAGAATCAGGAAACACACTGTTGTGCAGGCCAGTTGAGCGCGTGCACGCACTTCTGCATGAGCGTGACGGGCGTGCCGGAGTAGCCCCAACCGTCGAGCTTGACATCGACGCTGCCATTGAGGTTGATCTCAAGAACAGTGACAGCGCCATGGCGCGCCTCAAGATCACGGCGAGCCTGCGACACGATGAGCGCGACGTTGCCGTCCTCATCATCGCTATCAGACTCGCTGCCCGAGTCAGAAGCACCGTCATCCGACTCGTCGTCGCTTTCGTCGTCCTCCTCTTCAACGACGAGGACGGTCTGGCTCGCGAGTGCTGCGGCAGACGTGGTCGTGGTCGAAGCCGGCACGGATACTGCTGCCGAGGAGGAAGCCGCGGCGGCCGTGGCCGAGGTGACCGCGGAAGATACGGCCGCGGAGGAGACAACCGGTGCGGACGAGGAGATGGGGCGCACGGGCGAGGATGAGGCGGAGGCGAGGCCAGAGGAAGCGGTGAGGGTGGCCGAGATCAGCGAGGAGCTGAAGCTGGACGTGTTGAGCGTCCCATTCGAGTTCGATGCCTGAGCCGACGGGGCCTTCGCCTGTCCAGGACGCCACACAAGAGTGCAGCCGGACGCGTCGACATGATCGGGCACATAGTCGCAGTACCGAAGCTCGTTGTCGCCCCAGGTGTAGAAGCCCTCTGCGGTGGCGTTTCCGGCAAGAACGATACCGTAGAGATAGTCCGCGGCTTTGGCGTTGATGACTGTCGCTTCGCCTTGGAGGAGCGCTTGAACGATGCAGTTGACGATGGAGAAGATGAAGTAGATGGTGGTAAGGCGCGTCGCTGTAACCCTGCTCCACTGTCAAAGGAAGATGGCACAGTTAGTGATTTGAACCACACTGCCTATTCGGGTCGCGTGCATGATGAGCGCCCGTATACTGAAGCACAAGTGCCACAATGGCTCAAGACATCGGAAGATGATATAGGGGCGCAACTTTTGGGGATTCGATGGCAGGAAGAGCTGTACTCACGAAGAGCTTCAAGTTTGCACAGAAGGCGGGAACAAGGGGGATGAATTCAAGGACATTCTTGACGCGCATGTTGGGCTAATCTATCAGGCAACCCCATAAGCAGCCGCGCTTGACAAGAATAACCTCGTAGCACGCACCGGGAAAGGAATGGGGACAAAGGCCAAGCGATACCAAGAGAGCCGAGAGCGGACAAGGGAAACTATGCCACTAGGGCGAAACAAGCAGCGAACGCGATCGTCAAGAGAGCGTTCGTAGAGAAGAGACCGGGAGGGATAAAATGAGAGGGTGTAAAGCTGGCACGGCCAACCGAAAAAGAGCAGTACGAAAAGAGGAGGAGAAAAGGGAGAAGAAACCCGAAGAGCAGGACGCGAGGAGATGCTCGAGGGAGGCAAGGTTGGTCGAGACCGCCTGCACATGAACATAAGGGCCCTCTCCCACACCGTGACTACTCCCATCATAGCCCGTTGTCATGCAGACACCACCTCAAGGCTGCTATGTTCACGTATGGGTTTACCATATCTTCGGAAGGTGCCGATATGCCCGAAATGAAGTAATTCGGTCGATCGAAGACGTGCGGGGCGCGTATATGCCGCGGGAGAACGTCTTCCGCCAACGAATCAAGATGTTGGTTGGGAGCAAGAAGGGTCGAGGATGCGCGTGCTGCGCAGGTCCTCGCAACGACTCTCGGGCACGATCAAATGAGTACTGGTACGAGCACAGCATGACACAGTACTAGTCGGTTATCTATGTTCCTCCTTCAATCGGTGCCAGCTCTAACCAGCGGTATCTTCGCTCGATTCGTTGTCAACGATGTTTAGCGCTTTCCCCACGGGGAGCAAGCATTGCCTCCTTCCAGTTTTGCGGTTTTGAGCACTGACAGTCATGACCAGAAGTACAGCGGACATAACCGCTGATCAATGACCTTGACGGGCCACGGCGCGCGCGAGCCTATGGCTGAAGCGCTGAAGCCCCTTCGAAGGGTGGACGCGTTTCGGCAAGCCCTGGCAAACCCGCACCCGATCCGCTCCTCCTACCCACCACGCCGACGTAGCCGGCCACTTATCGCGGTCATGACCGGACACGGGCATGACTGTGTGAGTTGATGCCCGTTCAGTCGTGACCGCACAACACTGCCTCCTTCCCAAAAGGAGCTGTCTCTGGACACCGCACCACTCGGCACAGTATGCAAGCGAGCCACCGATGTGAACAGGAAACAATGTGATAGCTTCATGAACCTGCCTGTACGACGGCCATGAACATCGTATCCGAACCCTTACAAAAGTATTAATCAAAAGAATGTCCGCTTCAGAGGCGTAGAATGTCATCAAAAAGTCCATGCAATGTCCAAAGGTACACCAATCCCGGACGAGACGCTTAGTCGCGGTCGTCCTCGTGGTCGTAGAAGTAGGTCTTGCCATTGGTGTGCTCGCCGCCGTCCGTGATAGTGCCCGGGTAGCCCGAGACATGCAACCACTTGTTGAAGCGCGTGTAAGCGACGGTACCGGTGTAGCTGTTGCTCGACCACTCCATGATGGGACCGATAACGTCTGCGAGGATCTCGGACGCATCACTATGAGATTCGTCAGTTACTAAATCCGGCAGAAGAGATGATTGAGTGGACGTACGCGGGCCAGATGGAAGCGCCGGCCTTGTCCAACTCGCTGTAGACGAGGTCGAGGAGGTTCTGGCGGGTGATGGGGCATGCCTTGGCGTCGTAGGCACAGTCACCGACAATGCTGGCGTAGACGCCGTAGTCGAGGTTGGGCTGGTCGGTCTCGAACAGAGTGTCCGCCTTGTCGCAGACGGCGAAGTCGGTGATGATGGCGGGCTGTCGGCGGGCAAACGAGATCAGAATCGCTTTTCTTGTCAAACACGGTAGTGTCGCTTACACCCATCGCGACGGCAGCAGCCACACAGGTCCTGCTCGACCAGATGTTGTGCGTATCAGTCGGGCCAACGCAGGGCGAGAACTAGGGTGTCAAAGGTCAGAAAGGCGTGAAAAGTCTACGCATAGCGAAAGCAACTCACGAGCTGCTTGATCCACGGCTGGTAGTTCTCCCTCAAGTAGTCCGACGACGCGCGACCGGTAGTACAACGGTCATAGTCCTTGTTGAACCTCTCCGTGAGCGTAGTACTCGGTGCGGCGTACGCAGACGCGGAAAGGGCAAGAGCAGTGAGCGAGGCGGAGACCTTCATCGTGGCGAGGTGGGATTTAGGGAAGGAGAGAGAAGAGGAAAGGTTGAGTTGTCAAAAAGCGATGAACGGGCTTCGACAAGGAGAATCAGCAGCGTCGACAGTCGTCTTATATACGCCATACGCCTGCTGGCGTGCCAGGGCTCAGCTAAGGCCAAGATCAAGTGGACAAGTTCCGACCGCATCGAGCACGGCGACCACCGCTCTGCACACAAGCAATAACTCCCGATGCGCACCGGACGAGCTGGCGTAACGGCGGCAATTACGCTTCACGGCCATGGATGACCATGCTGTGAGGCGATGAACGTGAAGATGCGCTTGTTGAACAGACTGGACAACGCGACCACGGATGCCGATGTCCGCAATACTCTGGGCTACGGTGTACCAAGCCCAGTGTCTATTCATTCGTTGGTTGCCCATCCGTCGGCGGCGTACTCGACATGAGGGCGAGGACGTGATGGCTGTTGATGGGAGAGAGCGCGTGGACAGGCCGTCGGTACTGGGTCCGACAGCCTTGTTGGAGCCAGGATAGTAGCATAGCGAGCGATATAGCGTTGCCACAGTCTCACAGATGGGTGCAATGCTCTTTCAGGGATACAATTGGAAGGAGAACCCCGCGCTATGTGCGCGGCGGTGGTCATGGTGGTGGAGGTGAGAGCCTTCCTCGGACCGTCGGCGCGGGACTGAGTCGCCCGACGCTGTGTGAACGCGCTAAACGTTGTCGGAGGACTCTTGGAGGACTCTCATCTCGTTCGCCAGGAGAGGCGTACAAGGTCAAGAACTTGGTGACATGATTTCATGTGGCCTTTGCATCTGCCACCACAGTTCGGCGTCTCAAGGGCCGTGCACTCACTTGCGCAAGGATCTGTCCGGGTCTGTACGCGCTGTCAGAGACTGCGATCCGATGACTAGCGGGTTCCTCCAGCATGTAGACGCGTTGAGCGCTCTCTTGAGCCTCTTCTACTCACACGGACAACGTGTCGGTGAGCTTCACCGGGAACAACTGATGGCGACGCCGGCCTTGTCTTAGCCTGCCATCCATCCACCATCGCCATACAACATACATGCCTACTCGCCCTACAACTGGGGGACAAACTCAGAACTCGATCGAGGGCACGACAAATCCGCGCAATCTAGGCGATCTCTGGAACGTGGCCCTGCAACACCATGAGGAAGAGACTGGAACAAAGCTGCTCGAGAGCACGATCGCGAAGGATTTCCCACTTCACCCTGCCGCCTCCGAAGAAGTCCTCGCGATCTTTGCTGCACAGGGCCAGTCATTCGAGGCGTTCCGAGCTCGTGGTAGAAAGGTCTTGCAGGTGCTGAAACCCACTGTACACTTCATTTGTCTGTTTATCGATACTGGTGCTGAGGCCGGCTTGGTGAGTACCACTTCACATCTTGTGGCGTGTAGCCCGTTTCCGATCGTCCAATAGGCCACGGTTCCTGGAGGCAAGGCTATCTTCGTTGCCATCGGCGTACTTCTGCAGGTGAAGTCAAGTCTATTCCGTCTTTGCCGCATAGCGCTCTGACATTTAACAGGCTACAAAAGGAGTGAGCGGCCTCTATGATGTCATCGAGCATCTCTTCCGAAAAATAGCAAGCTACCTCAATCGCGTCCCGATCTATTTGAATTCGTCAACTCAACCAGCCCCTGTTCTGATGACCATCCTCGTCAACACATGTATCCAGGTACTCGAGGTCCTGGCGATGACTACGAAGTATTGCGACTTAAGCACCAAGAGTGTCTGGGGCGCTGTTTCTCGGCGCACAAGTGCGTATATCCTACAGCTCTCACACATCTTGGCTGAGCTTGTACGCGCAGAGGACTACCTTCGCGAGTTCATTGGAGGTAGTGAGGTAAAAACAGCGCTCGAAAAGTTGGAGCACCTCACGAATGCAGAGCTTCTGGCTGCCGTGGCACAGACCAATACTATCGCACGAGACGGTGAGTCGTATATCGACCTGCATCGTGCAGGAAATTCATCATCCTCGCAGTTCAACTCAAGATACACTTTGTGGCCAACGAAGCAGGTAGGCGCGCCCTTGCATGTATCATGTCTAGAAGTTCTATCATTCTCAACATATGTTTCAGTACTCAGGGGTCTCCGCGAGTGGATTCAGCCGCCCAATGCGCAGCCACTTAACTGGGAGAAGAAGCGGCATCTCGACAGCTGTCGGTGGTTCTTTGACGGCAAGTTCGAGAGCTGGAAGACTCAACAGAACGGAGTATATTGGATATACGGCAATGGTACGTTGTACCTTAGCTCTGAACAAGCAAAGCCTCATCATCACCGAAGCTGGTGCTGGAAAGAGTGTCCTATGGTGCGCCACTTTAATCGCCTTTTCTCCGATCTAGACCTCACCTTTCACCGTAGTTCGTCAATCATCGAGACACTCAAGGCGGACCCTGCGCTTTCCTTGGTGTACTTCTACTTTGACTTCGGTGATACTACAAAGCAGGATTGCCGCGCACTAGCCGCTTCCTTGGTCTTTCAGTTGGCGACCTGTTCCGAAGCATGCCAGAGCTATCTTCGACAGCAGCAAACGGCTACATCTCCGACCTATGATGAACTGCTTGTCATGCTGTCGAGCCTGGTGAAACTTGCCGGACACGTATACATCATAATCGACGCCCTTGATGAGTGTCCCGAGCAGGAGCGTGACAAAGGCTCATCGCGCTTTTTGAAGCATCTTTGCGAGCTTGACGTCGGCGAGAAGGACTTCCACTTGCTGGTGACTAGTCGCCCTGAAGCTGACATCTGGGTCCTCCTGTCGTCCGTCACTCATATTCTCAGCCTCAATGATGATCAACAACATCTGGAAGACGTGAGTGCGTACATAACCTCTCGACTCGATCGGAACGAATATCGCTGGTCGCCCGATGTCAAAGAAAGGGTATACGGAGTCCTCAATGAGAGGTCCAATGGAATGTATGTCAGGCACTCAATATTGCGATGGCTCTGGACTGATCGCTCGTTAGGTTCTTATGGGTCGATCTTCAGCTACTGCGCCTGAAAGGCTGCATCTCGATTGCCGACGTCGAGTGCGCTCTGAATGAGCTGCCTTCCGACCTTCAAACGACATACACGCGCATATTAGAGAGATCTGATCCCTCGAAGGCCTCGGTGGAGCGGCGTCGTCGCGTATTCCAATGCATTGCCGCCGCGCGGCGTCCGCTTCGCCTAGCAGAAGTGGTTGCGATATATTGCATGGATTACGAGTCTCGTACGCCTCTGGTCCCAATTGAGGACTTCGAAAACTTCATACTTGAGAGCTGTCCCGGGCTCCTGAGCATTGCTGTTGAGATACGCCGGAATCGCACCCAGCGCAAAAGCGTACAATTCATCCACTTCTCTGCTAAGGAATACCTCATGTCTGCCGAGCTTGAGAATGCTCCGACTCTTGCACATCACTACGGTTTCGACGACTACTCTGCCAATGTCACACTGGCAAAGATCTGCCTATCAGCACTTGACTTGGATACCACACTCCCGAACTTAACCGCGTATGCGAGCAGGTATTGGACTGAGCACGTAACCTCTCGCAATGAAGACGATCTTAGCGACCGTCTCGAAACCTTCCTTCGAACGGGCTCCCCGTCTTTTGCCCGTTGGGTTAGCTCACATAATGACGGTCATACACACGGCGGAGATACTGCATTTCATTGCGCCGCTAGGCTGAATCTATGCCATCATGTAGAGAAGATGCTGGCACTGCCCTGGAGCAACTCTTCTTCTACCGAATCTCTCATCATGACTCCCGGCATGCACGCAGGCTCTGCGCTGCATGGAGCAGCAGTATCTGGACATGTCGAGATGTGTCGCTTATTGCTCGGTCACGGAGCCCTCATCGACGCCACCGACGAAGAGGGAGACACACCGTTGCACGATGCCGCGGCGAGGGGACACTTAGTAGATGTCGTCCACATACTCCTGGAATATCCCGCAGTGGATAGTTCAGATGCCACCGCCAGATGTCGGGCTCGCAATATGCGCAGGAAGACCCCGCTACACCGGGCCGCATTTCATGGAGAAACTGACGTTTGTCGCCTGTTGCTCAGTCATGGAGCTGTTGTCGAAGATGTCGACGAGCGGGGAGACACTGCTGTGCAGATGGCCCTAGAGGGCGAGTATCTGGATGTTGCTCGTATGCTTTTCGAGCATCGCGCGAAGGGTACACTGCAAGTTCTGCCATTTGCACGGAAGGCCAGGGAGACCTTGCGCGGGCTCGTCAAGGAGGATGCCGATGAGCCATGGCAGGTCATTCTTGAGGAATTCGCGTCTCAGCTCGAGGATCCGGGAGATGGGTCAACCTCGGACTAAGGATTGCTTTGCTTGAGCTGGTATGGAGAGTCATCGCACTTGCATTGGGCGAGGAGGTGGGGTTGACGATGTGTCTGGCTCCATCGCTTGTATTGAACTTCCGCCTAACAGCAGGTTGTCGTAAGAGATCAGTTGTAATGTACGTAAGACAGGTGTACCAAGTAGACGGAAACGCTTCCCATAGGTCTGAGACTCGTAAGGGCAATTCGACAGGTATAGGCAAACGTATGGAAAGGAGAAGATGGAAGCGAAGAACAGGATGAAGAGCGTGGGTAAGCCGACGGAAACCCGACGGAACGTAGGCGCTCAGGTAAACGTAGATCTGGACGCCCATGTTAGTTTCGTGAACCCGAGGTCCACTACCATCGCGGCAGAATACAACTTACAGTGCTACAGTACAGGTATACAGCTACCAAGCGACATCACACACCCTTCACCCCATTGACTCCCAACCCGACCACCTTCTCAGTCTCCTGCATAAACGGCTGCTCCAGCGCTTCCCTGAGCGCATCGCCGCTCTCATCAACACTATGCAAGAACCTCAACAGCTCCCTACAAAGCGTCCAATCCTTCGCTCCCACAGCTTTACACAGCAGCCTGAGCGTATCGTCATGACTGCTTCCAAGCTGTTCGAGCGACTGCAAGACGAGGAGGTACGATCCGGCTGTACGAAGTCGGCCCGAGCCTAGACATTTCTGCAGGTTACCGGGTCAGCACGGGTGGAAATGAATGAGATCTGAGAACGAGGGATACGTACCTCGAATAAAGCGCGCGGATCGCCGACGATATCGAACAATCTTCTCCAGCGCGTCATCTCCGTCTTGCGCGCGCACCCCACAACCACATCAAGCGCGACGTCGAAATGATCGAGGAACTCTATCGTGGCGGGTAACGCGCTCTCCTTCTCCTTCTCCCTCTCCGTTGCCTCTGATGTGCCGGTGTTCCCGTCGTCAGGCCGGAGCGTACGATCTGCGTCATCCCGTCCCTTCTCCCGTTCGCGCTCGATTTCACTCTGCAGATCCGCATCGGCCTCGACGACTGTGTGAAGTAGAATCTCGAGCGCGTGGGCGAAGAAGACGAGGTGTTCGTAGTGCGCTGCGAAGATGACGGCTTCGCGGACGCGGTTGGCGGTGAGGTGGGTGAGGAGGATGTGGTGTAGGAATAGATGTGACTGTGGTGATGATGTCAGTACACCTGTTGAGATGTCAAGTTGTGAAGAGCGCTTACGCTGGTTGAGTGTCTGAACGAGACGAACGGCAAGTTCGAGCGCGCGGCGATCTCGCTTTCGGCGCCAATGATAATCCCCTTATTCATCAAGACGGCTGTATCATCGTCAGTGATACAGGCTCAGGAAAGAGCGATATAAGACGCACAGAGAGGATAGAAGTCCAATGGGATATGCACGCTCTCCTTCACATCTTCGCCTCCGACCAGCTCGGGCTCAGCGTCGATAGCGAGTGCATTCAGCCATATCCGCATAGCCTGCCCGTCGAAGCCCCACAGCGAGTTCTCAAGCGAGCCGATCCCGCGTAGATGGATCCAACAGAACTCGATGCGGTTCGCGAGGACCTGCATGTCATAGCTGACTTCCTGGTCCGCGGTCTACGCAACAACCCATCAGCACCTCGACAGCAGTCATGAGCGAGACATCGCGCACCTTACGAGGCCGTAGAAGCACCAACTGCCCACCGACCATCATCAAAACCGTCGCACTAGCCAAATCATCCACCGGATCACCCAACTGCTTCTGCGCGCTCGGGATCATCCAACTCAGTGCCCTCACAGCGCCCGGGTGCGCAATGACGCCCTCAAATCCGATACTGCCGCACATCCTTAGCGCGATACTGCTCTCCGTCGGCACGACGAGGTAATGCGTCAACACGTTGTCCGCTGTATACACCAGCAAGCTGTTGTCCACGAGCGCCATGAGCACCACAGGCGCGCTGAGAATCTCGCGGTGTAAGAGGTTTTGAGCGGATAGTTCGAGGTCGCGGGAGTAGAGACGCAGTTGCCAGGATCGGCCACCGACGATTTCGGTTGCTGCTATTAGGACGTGGTGAAACCATAGTAGACCGCCGCGGACGAGAAAGGCTTGTTCTTGCGTTTCGTCGACGAAGGATTTCCAGCGGCCGGAGGTGGCGCTGTAGTGGATCAGGCCTCTTCTTCCGGCTACTGCTATTAGACGGCCATCGGAGGATATGGAGGAGTACTGCATGGGCCAGTTGGAGGAGATGTATCGTGCGGGGATCTGGCATTCGCTGTGAGCATTGGTGGTATTATTGAGTGATGGGAGAGGGATTACCTTGACGTGTTGCCAGACGTCCGATTCTGGGTTGATCACGCTCATATCGGGCTGGTCCGCTCCACGGTACACCAATACACGGTCTTGCATCTGCAAGAACGCGTACTCGCTATTATCGGGCGTATGCTGTGCAGTCGTAGCGCTCTTCGCAAAAGGGATAGAGAAGAGCTGGGCATCCGGTCCTACGCCCAATCAGCAAGGGGTTCTTCCGCCATAGACTACAAGAAAGAACTTACGATCAGGTTGAAAATGCGAAAGCATGACAAGTTCGAAATCGCCTGGCGCCCAGAATAGCGCCCGGGCGCCAAACATGAACGCATCAGAGAAGTTCTCATGGTCCACGTCGTCTACGGCGCCAAAGCTCCAAGCCAGACATCGGCCCGCTACACTCCAGACTGCCCATCCCTTCTCGAACGCGACGGCCAGAACGTACGCGTCTGAAGACCATTCCATGGCGCGTACGGGCCCGCGGGAGTTCGTGTTAGGAACTTGGGGGATTGTGAGCTCTTGTGCGATGGGGACTGTCCCGGTGGAGGTTGGGAAGGATGCTAGTTCTACGACACCTCTGTGTAGCTCATCAGCGCGACGCTCTGTAGGGCGGAATGGTGAACGGCGCTTACGAGTGTGTGCCCACTGCAACGAGCGAGAACCGGTTGTTCACCGCAACACCCAGCGCTCGTCTGGGCAGCTCAAAGTCACCTGGATCGTCGCTCATCCTGCGTTTCTGCACCCAGCGGGGAACAATCACGGCGTGTATACACGCGCCATACCACTGTGCTCCGGGCAAAGACTCCAACGAAGGTGGATCCGCCGAAGACTGAATAGCATCGCTGCTGGTATTAGACGGCGAATTGACCGTTTCAGCAAGTTGGACGAAGTAGGCACGGCCGTCGGACGTGATCCACGTTTCGACGTCTGTGTTGCGAGACCATGCTATGTTGCGGATGTAGATGTCCGGGTCGACGAGCCAGGGGAAGTCTTGCTCGTTTAATGTCCAGCTCTCGTAGTTGTATGTTGGGTCGAGATCTTGGGGCATGGGTGTACGTGGGGTGTGGCCGCCTTCGTCTTCTTCGTCTGGAGCGGTTGGCCAGGGCATGCGTTGGATTGTCGGCGGGTCCATTGTGGAGAAGAGTATGTAGTCTCGGCGTGGTGATACGCTTTGAACAGCTTGGTATATCTCAATAGCTTATGTCATGGTAGGCGTACCTCGTTAGTCCTCCATCTACGCGGATCACACCGTCTAGCAATAATACCACAGACTGAAGCTGCGCCGCCTCTCCCGGTCCGGCCTGGAAGGTGCGCTGAGCCTGAGCACTGAGAAGAGGATCATACGGCTTGGTATCTGCAGTTGCTTGGTAGTCGATAGTTATTAATACAAGGAAGGACTCCGTTGTCTATCGCATCGGCGTTAGCGGATGCACACAAAATATTAGAGTAATGCGCACTTGTACGACTAAGCGCGTAGCATCCGGCGTCCAGCACACAGACTTATTGCTCCCATGTTGTTCAATACTGACTTTGCTGCGTACAAGGTACCCCAACAGTGCCGGCGGCTATCGAAATCGAATATCAGAACTTTCGCGAGTCCAACGCTCGCAGAATATTCAACCACGCACGCGCACGCGCCACAGTTGAACGGACGTCGCAGTGAGAGCGCAGAATAGTGATTTACGCGCGCTGGGCGTGATGTCGAGTATGGGCTCTTCTGGTGCGCTGGGCAGGGATGGTACTGTACATAGTTGCGAGGCGACGGATGTGGGGAAGTACATGACGCGCGCCGAGCGGACTTGACCGACGCGCCTTGCTTTGTTCGCTTTCTCACAGACGCCCATCATCATGGACTCGAAGCTGTCAATTTATAACTTAGCGCCCATGCACGTTGAACCTCTTCCCTCAGAGAGCAATGGCATGATCCTCTTTGCTGTAACAGACAAAGTCCAAACGTGGTAACTCGAAACTGGGCACGTTGACAGGGACTATTTATGTAGCGGTCAGACCCCAGAAAGCATACCGCTCGATACCCGGACCGTCCCCGATCCCTTTCCCTTCGGCTTGAAGACCATATCTATATCGCTCTTCGCCATGACCTTCGGCATATTCTTGATAAGCTCCACAAACTGCTCCTCCGTCCTCGGACCACCGCATGCGCTCTCCTCTATCTCGCGCAGAAAATCGCCGAACGCCTTCTGCGTTGGTGAAGGATTGTCACAACCGAGATACTTGTACATGGATCCCTTCGCGACCTCGCGCGCTCGGGCCATCTCTACCGAATTGAAGCCGGACGTGTCGACATCGACTTTCTCGTTCGTCGCGAGGCGGTTGAATTGGAGCGCGCGGTCTTCTTCTGTTGGACGCCTGCAATGTGGCTTGTGGCGCTTCCAGTCCTGTTGAGGCTATCATCAGGACCTGATCAAGACGTGAAGCAATGATGAGGATGCACACCCTTCTGGCACTCCTTTGAGCAATACGCCGGCTTGTCTGCGACACTACACAGGCCGGCACAACGCCTCAGATCGCCGCGCGCGGTCGTTCTCACAGTACACCCCGGACGAGAACAAGCGTAGATCTCCCGTTCCGCCTGATGTTCCGGCGCAGAGAAGCTCGCCCAGGCTGCACCATGTAATATCGTCTCGCAGCTCACGATGGCAGCCATTGCGGGCGCGTCGTCCATCGTACACAAGAATAGCGATTCGGTCTCTACCCGTTCGTCATCCTCGTTCCTCCGCGCCTTCCCCTCTTGAAGCTTATAGAACGCGAGGGCTGTATAGTACGTGCAGGCGACAAACAAGCCTAGCTTCGCTGCACCTTCGCCGCAGAGGAAAGCCTGTGCGAGATCGGAGAGCGCTTTGTTCCTCTCGTACTGTCGGTAATGATGGCAGCAGAGATACGCGTAGGCGTCCGCCTTGACGCGTGCGTATTTGCGCGTCATCTCGGAGGAGGAGGTGATGGTCCCGCCGTTTGGGAGCTCTATCCGCGATACTCTAGTCCACAGAGCAATAGCTCTGTCCCGATCCTGCTTCGCGCGTGAAGCCGTATACAATCTGCAAAACCTCTCAGTTGAATGCATACGCGCGCAGAAGAGCGACGGCGCGTACCGCGCGGCCAGAAAGTTCATCGATACAGCATCATGACGCTCGGTGGCGGCAGTCTCAAGCTCCTCGGTCGTTTTGCCCGTGAAATGCTGCGCCATTGAGACGAGGACTTTCAACATGTACTCGGACTGCTCCGTTACTTTGTACTCGGGCTTGACGAGCTTTTCACCGTCGTCATGGTAGATGAGCCGGGCGAGACTTTGGAAGCCGCATAGGCCTGGGATGTCGATTCCGGATGCGTATCCGGGAGGGTTGTTGGGCTTGGAGGGCATGGTCAACGCAAGGCAGGATTCGAGTTTGGAGATGATGGGCGATGGTCAGGGCTCGAAGATCATTCAATAGACAGCAGTAGGTACGCATTCCAGGAGTGGAGAATACATGATGTGCACCAGACATATGCATATAGAAGACGTCAAGACGACACCTTGGCGGTCATCAAACCTAAACCGGGACACTCGGCGCACCAGCCTTGAAAAGCGTCTCCAGATCTCTCTGCGGAATAGTCTTGGACATGTTCTTAACCAACTTCACGAACTGCCCGGTAGACCTCGGTCCTCCGCACGCAGTCTCCTCTATCTCCCGTATAAACTCCCTAATAGCCTTCTCCTTCGGCGTGGGATTGTCGCCTCCGAGATGACTCCACAAGTCGATGGAGGCGAGATCGCGCGCCCGGGCACGATCCACTGAGTTGAGTCTGGACGTGTCGACGAGTTTAGAGTCGTTCGTGGCGAGCGGCGTGTATTGGAACGTGAGATCGGCTTCGGTGGGTCGGGAGCAGTGCATGCCGTGACGCTCCCAGTCCTATCGTATGACTCAGAAACGTCGAAAAAGACTGGCCAGTACAACGCTTACCAGAGCTTGACAATGCTGAGAGCAATACGAAGGCTTACTCGCGACGTCGCAAGTACCCGCACAGCGCTTCATATCGGCACGCGCAGCAGACGTCTCATCGCAACCCGCGCGCGAACAAGCATACTCTACCGGCTCCATCTCCTCCGGCGCGGAGAAATCAGCCCACAGCTTACCGTCCAACATAGTCTTGCACTGGAGTACAATAGCGAAAGCCGGTGCATTTTCCGGCGTGCAGTTGAAGCTACACTTCGTCTCAATCGACACGTCGTCTTCGATCCTCACCGGGGCGCCTTTCTGAAGGTTATAGAAGGCGAGCGCGGTGTAGTGCGAAGCCGCGACAAACAAGCCCAACTTCGCTGCACCTTCGCCGCAGAGGAAGGCCTGCGCGAGGTCGAGTAAAGCTTTACTCTTCTCGTAGTTGCGCAGGTGGTGCGCGCAGAGGTAGGCGTAAGCGTCCGCTTTGACGCGGGCGCGGCTGCGGGCTGTATAGTCGCTGGACGTGATGCTCGCGCCGCGCGGGAGATCGATCTGCGATACCTTGGTCCACAACTTCAGAGCTCTGGACCGGTTCTTCTTCACTCTCGCGCCCGTGTACAGCCTGCGAGACCATCAGCCATCGTCTTTGGCTTAAGAAACCTACTATACTCACCGTGCGCCCAGATAGTTCATCGACTTGCACTCATCCATCTGAGCGCCCGCCTCGAGCTCCTCAGTTGACGTGTTGACGAAATGCCTCATCATCGCGAAGAAGATCTTCATGAGATATTCGGTCTGCTTTTCGAACTCCCAGCCTGGTGCGAGGATCGTTATGCCGTCGTCGTGATAGATCATGCTGGCTAAGCCCTGGAAGCCGTGGAGGCCGGGGGCGTCGATGGTCGCTGCATGTCCGGGCACGCGAGAGCTTTTGGTGGGCATGGTGCGCGAGGTCAGCTGGCGTGGGGTAGAGACAACGATGTGGGGACCGCGGAGCTTATAAGAACAGCTGAAGGTGTCAGAGAGAGCTGCACGGAAGACGTCTTCGAGGATCTCCCTTTTGATCAAAAAGGACAAGAACTCGCGCAGCCTGGAAGGGACGGTAGGTTGGCAAGTGGATTACTCGATGAACTCAGGATCTCGGACGCATGTACCGTAGATATAGCACGTGGGTTGTCCATCCAGGCAGGGCGCCTGCTCGAACCTGCGAGATACCACCTTCATCGGCAGTGCTCCGACACCTTAACGTTTGGGAACCTATCTCTCCGCGCATACGCCCTACTCCCTTCAGCGAGCTCGCGCACCTCATCCGCAAGCTTCTGCGTATCATCCAACTCCACAACACCCTTCTCACCCAAAACCTCCAACACGTTGAACACCCAAGGTCCGCACTCCCCAAACTCGTCGTTCTCTGGAACATGCACCGAACGAGCTGCTTCTTCGACCACAACCGCGTCGATGGTGTCATGAACGCGTAGGAGAGAACTGAGAAACATATCGCCGGCCACAGGTTGCGTGCGTTTCTGGAACTGCCAGTTCGGGTGCGTGGGGCGGTCGATGCGGATGTGAAAGAGCGTGCCGGATGCGGGTGTTGTGTCTTTGGCGAGGAGAAGACCAAGGTGTGGCGAGCGGGCTTGGGTGAAGCCTGCGATGTAGAGGGCTCCTGGGGTGTATAGATCGGGGGTATCCGCCATGGCTACGTTGGAAGTCAGCCTTTTTCCAGAGTTCTATGCGGTGAGGAGCTTACCGTAGGATATGATGGTGATTGAGGAATGCTTGTGAGCAGTAAGATCAGTGCGACAGGCTCGGCGCCACCGTGCCACAGCGGCGTGCGCGATGCCGGCACGACGCGGCACGGCCGATCCCAGCCAATCATGACGATCAGTTATCCCACGTCAACCAAAGGCTAAATCAGCGTTTGCACAGGCGCACTGTCAGCGCGCCAGCAATCAGGCGCGGAATATGGAAGAACAGCGGTGGCTTGGTTCAGCTAAAAGTACAGTACATGCTCGTAAGCGTGCAGGCAGCTACGGAAAACGGAGAATGAAGTGAATAGACACGAGAGACCGGGCAGGAAAGAGAACGGAGAATGCACAGCAGCAGCAGACGGAGCGAAGACTATGTGGTTTAAGTTATCCACGGGATGTGATAGTAGGATGCAAACGGACTCGGAGGATCGTGCGTGAAACAGAGGTCAAATGATATGATGAGGTCAGTTTTCGGGCAAGCTGAAGCGTGGGGCATCCCGTGCCTCAGGGTCGTCGTCGAATTTGCGCGAGGGAGCAGCGTAGCGGACGGCGCTATCTGGGCGCAAGTATGTTGCGCCTGCAAGACCCATGGGCTCGAGCCTTGCTTGCCGGATGAGGTCGAGGATGACGGAGAGACCCTCGCGCGACTATAGACAAGTATGAGAAAGGGGCTGCTTCTGAATGAACTCGTGGACGTACGCGTTGAATGTTACGCTTGAAGCGCGCGATGCTGTGGTTCTCGATTTGTCCGGTCAGACCCCATCCAAAGCGAGAGACGATGTTTGCTTCGGTCGTCTGAAGCGTTTTGCTGTAGGATGACAGTCAGCACTTTGACTACATACGGGTTTATTGACTGTGAGAAGGGAAGCGTGCCGAAGGATCCACGCCGCGTCAGGCGAACATTGAGCGCTAATAGAATCCACCCCACACCGGCTGTGCCTGCGCAGCTATGGTACGCGGCCCCCGGCAAGCAGAAAGTGCATACAAGATATTCGAGCGATGCAACAGTGCTCATGGTGCGCAATATCCCAGGTGAAGATGATAAACTCACCCGTCCGTCATTTGCCGGAAAGTCTGCGTCTCCTGAACCCTGACAATCTTGACGTGGTCGAGGTTGCGAGTGCTACACCTCACGACCTTGCCCAGAGGGTCGACCTCGCTCTCCTCGATGACCCAGCTCTCCGACCTGTTGATCAATTGGCGTGCCCAACGTGGGAGAGAGCCCCGCTTGAGGATGAGACGCGTAGTCAGGAGTGTGCCGGCCGACGTGAACTCGCGGGAGACGACGTCGCAGGATAGGATGTGGCCGGCGTATGGGTTCGGGTAGCGCAGGAAGTACGCGAGTGACACGATAGGCCAGGGATCGCTATAACCAATATTATGAGTTGATATCTCATGGTAAACCTTAAGGAGTGGCGTACTCGTATAGAAAAGACTGGGTGAAGAACCGCATTGGCGACGACCCCTTGCGGGCTAGTTCAGAGTATGTGAGGGATTATGTTCGTGTGGTGTCGTTAGACGGAGAGGTTCGGAGAGTGGTGGTGGTGAGAGAAAGGGATATGCGGGTTGGACACTTGCGGAGCTCTCGAGACCTGCTCCAGCGCAGGCCAGAACGGTCTTGTGACCGCCGCGCCGCGACACGCGCGAATTCGGCTTCGTGATGGGCGCGTCAGCTTCATCACGCAATGATTCTCCTCGTAGGGCTCGAGTTCGGAATTGCCACTCTGTACTCCAGTCCATCATGCTCAGTCAGAGCTGGGTTGGTCATCGCTCGACCCAATACACCGCATTCACCTTTATGGTGACTACTGGCCCAACTGAGCCAGGAAAACATCACGCTCGCATCAAGATGTGCATCTGAATCGAGTACGAAGTACACAGTACATCAATCCGTAGTCTACTCAAGCGCCGTCCTCCTCTTATTCGTCCCTTTCATCTTCCTCTTCCTCTTCGTCCCCGTCATCACTATCGTCTTCATGCCACGGATGTGCATCTCCTTCATCTCGATCCCAGTCAAGGTCGTCCACAAAACTCTCCCAATTACACAGCTCATCCGCTCGGACAGAGCCTGATACGATAGAGAGCTTTCTCAAGCGATGCCCCATCTCGGCACGCTTGTACAAGAGGTCAAACACGGGCCCGAAGAGACAGATATCCCCGTCGCACGCAAGACATAGAAACGGCACGTTCACGAACGAGATTGACCGAAGTTCTGGCAAACGCACGACGGGCTTGTCATCGTGTTCCACTCCGTGTGGTGGGTATAATCATCTGCAGAATTCCGCCGTCGCTAGATGTTCCGTACAGTTGTCGAACCTCAGGCTCTGGATGCCAGAGAGGTGGGTTAAGAGACTCGATAGGTTATTCCCGTCCCAGCCCATGGCCCCTTGCATCTCCAGAACGCGCCACTTGCTCGCTGCAGGAATCGCGGTGAGGAACCGACACATAGTATCAAACCCGCGATCTGCGAAGTCCGAGAACATGGTTTCGTTGATGCGATGGGGGACAGGCAAGATCACTCTCAATCCAGCATTTGGATGAGGATAGCGCTGCGAAGGCGTTTCGGAGTCCCCATACAGACCAGCCGGCCTCTCCTCATCGTCAATCTCAATCTGGCACTTCGGCTTCGTCTTGACCATCGACATACGAAGACGAGAGAAAGCCGGTCTCTCTTCGTACAGCTCGAACTGGTCTCCCGCTTCTCGTGCCATATCCGCTAGATCGCCCGTATCAGGGTACACGGGCGCTTCGCATGCTCTGCTGGCGTCGATGTGTACGAAAGCGAGCGGATGCGTCTCGATGGAGCACCAGAAGATGGTGCACTCGTTGGGCGGGCCTTTGATAACGAAGTGGCGTAGCTGTGGGCAGTGGATCGAGCGAAAGTCGTCGGGCGGTGCTGAGATGTCCATGTCGTCGAGGATGAGAACCTCGAGGTTGAGTAGAGCAGCTATGCCCTTTAAGATGAAGTCCAGTCGGACGACGCGCGTCTGCACGAGCTCGAGTCGACGCAGGTGAGGAGCAACGGCGCCCCACGGAAAGCGTATGAACTTCATCTCAAGGCTTCGCAAGTTCGGAAGTGTGTGCTCGACGAAGTTCGAGGAGAACCCCGGCCCGTTGTAGACATTCCTGCCTGTCGGAACCAGTCTGACAGTCTCCAAAAGAGGCAGCGCGGGCAAAGTCGAGAACTTCTGCAGCAGTGACACGACGCTGTCAAACCCATGCATATCAAGCTTCCTCGCACGAGGGATGAGCTGGGGCCCGGGAAAGCGATTAGAGGTGCAGGTGACCGTGAGAGGGTGATCGCCCGCGCGGATGACCATCATGTTGAGGAAGCGCGCAGGCATCGAACCGAGTTCGATAGACGCCCACAATGCTTTGTGTGCGAGGGCAGCGGATCTCCATCTTTGCGATATCTGCGCGACTACGGTGAAGCCGATCTTGTTCCACAAGTTATCGTTAGCCTTGGGCTGTAGTGGCGCGATGGCTGCGAGGTCCTCGAAGATGAGGAAGAGCAGTTCCGGTGGGAGCATGTATGCGCTCGAGTGCGCGTTCTGGCGCAGCTTCAAAGCGTGAAAACGCCTGAGGATGGTGTCCATGTTATTCTCGCCGAATGGCACTGATACAAACGATCCATTGCGCTCCAAGACTATGTGAGGCGTCCTGTAAAGCGTGAGATCGATGCTGGGGAACACGTCTAGGATCTGGCACATACAGTCCAAGACGTGATTGAAGCGGCCGGTCATCAGCCATACTGGCTAGGAGATGTATTCACTCAAGATCGAAGGATGGCTTTGGCGAATGCCTCCGGGAGAGGCGAGATCAAAAATTCGTGTCCCGCCAAGAGAAACGCAATGATATGAGCGAGCGCTCAAGGTCGTCGTGGCGGTTTGAGCTTAGGTACGTGGCCCGCCTGTGGTGCGCCAGACCTTGAGC